TTGACCTTTCTGCACGCAAGTCGAAAACAACAAATCTTTAAAAATGTAAACAACACTGACGATTTTGGCCTTGTTACGAAATAAAAACTTACTAACAATGTATGTATTATATTTGTTTAGTTTAGTCATATTAATTTTAGATTTATAGCCTGACCAGGAACATAAAAACCCTCGCCATGTTGCGGAAAACTAATGGTACTAATTTATTTTAATGGCAACAGTAACTGAAAACTTCATTGACATGTCACCTTGCATGTCAGTCTATTGTTGTCAAAGTGTAAACAAACTTTATTTTAAATGTGTGCAATTGATTTTATGAATTAAATTGCTAAAATATTTTTATAGTCGTGAAAGAAAAGTGGTTCACGATGTGTTAATGTATTTGTCGAAGAGAAATACTAAGGGTTCGGACAATATTTTCATTGAATAATGTTTCCGACAAAGGTTGTCAAATTGACTGACATGTTTATCGTATAGTACAGTCCACTATGAAAATTAGCTGTAGTCTGTTTCAACTACCTATTTTAAAGTTTTTTGTCTCTTTCTTAGTTTTGAATTTTATGGAATTGGGAAAGAAGTACCGAGTTTGAAGCGTTCATGAGCAGACATTGCAGTTGAATATTCAAGTTCTGAATTTGATTATTGATGAATAATAAAATAAATCCTACTAGCTCGATTGATGGTTTCATTTAATTTATTTAAACCAGGTTACCTTTAATAATATTTTTCGTTCATTTATGAAAATATCAAATTAGCCCGTAATCCTGAATCCTGATACATAAATTTAGCCTATTAATTTAACACATGTACGACTGTACTCAGTGTTGCACTATCAAATGCAATTGAAGCGCCTCTATGCCAGGGTTTTTATGTTCAAGCCCCCCTAGACACCCAAACGCACTTTTTGATCGAATCGAAAATCGAATCCGTCAAAACTCCATACAAAAAAGGGGCTTTTCGACCACTTTTCGACTGGTTTGCGATTATAATGTGCACTTTGTCTAGACCCACTGGTCACTGGTCAGGCTATAAAAACTATTAATTTTAATCGTTTTACTTGCATTTATTGAATAAAGTAGATTTCTGAACGAATTGTACGGAGGAATATTGCCATCACAAATAATTAGCATGAGTAATTAATTGTACATTTTTAATTTAAGACTGCCGCTTTTTTATTATTTTGTTAAAATAAGGTCAAAATAATTCAGTTTTGTCACAAAATAAAATAATCGAACAATGACATTGACGTTTTTTTAGTTGGTAGAAAGTACATAATCGGTACTGGCAACATCGGCACGTTCTTTTTCTCCCCAAGTTTGTTGGAGACACGTGCGTCTAAAACGCCGAAATTTAGGAAATAATCCAAAATGACTGAGGGAACAGCGACGATTCGCACTCGCAAATTCATGACCAACAGGTAAATACCCAAATCATTGAAATCCATGTGTAAATACTTTGAAAATGCGAGTAAAACTTGTTGCCTCGCCATGACAGGTTATGTTGGTCTGACAACGTTTTGTGAATTTTCAGGTTGTTGGCTCGCAAGCAGATGGTCTGCGATGTTCTGCATCCAGGCAAGCCTACGGTCAGCAAGACCGAGATCAGGGAGAAGCTGGCGAAGATGTACAAGGTGACACCTGACGTAGTCTTCGTTTTCGGATTCAAAACCAACTTCGGTGGTGGCAAGTCGACTGGCTTCGCGCTCATCTACGACACCTTGGACCTGGCTAAGAAGTTCGAGCCCAAACACAGGCTACAGCGTCACGGCCTATACGAGAAAAAGAGGCCTACACGCAAACAGCGTAAGGAACGCAAGAACAGGATGAAGAAGGTGCGTGGTACCAAGAAATCGAAAGTTGGTGCGGCCTCTAAGAAGTGAGATGTGACCGTTTAGTACTGTAAGTAAATAAAAACCCAAAAAAAAACATTAATTTGTTGTTTTTAAATTATCCTTTTTCCTTCACTGTGTAGTAATAGAAAAGTCCTCTTGTGCAGTTCAATTCAGTGTTCTCATTAGTGCATTGAACTTTTAATTATTGTTCTATAAGATTGGAAAAACTTCTTATTTCATTCATAAATTGATAAAAGTACCTATGACTTGAAGAAAAATGTGCGTGTGAACTGAGGGACCACACTGGTACTACCCTCTGACCAATATTTTGCTAAATAAGTGTCAAACTTGAATGCTGGCTTCAGATACTTACTTAAGGTTTGAATTTTATGTTTTGATGATACCAAACAATTTTTTTTTCTATTCTTTTCAAAATATTGAAATCTTAGCACCATGGAGTCAAATAAAATAAATTGGTATGCACATTTTCTTTATTATTTACACTTACATTAATACTGATAAATAACTCAACTGAATGGCATTTTTGATATGAGATCTATATATATAAAAATGAAACCCGTTTCGCGTTGTCACGGCATCACGTGTGAACGGCTGAACCGATTTCGATAATTCTTTTTTTTAAATGTTTGTGGAAGTCCAAGGATGGTTCTTACGGAAAAAAATATTAAGAAAATCTCTACGCTAAGGCGGTACGAAGTTCGCCGGGTCAGCTAGTTTTTTATAAAACAGATGTGATTGAATATAATATTCTTGTTTACTATTTCTTAATGTTTTAGGTTTACATAGAAATAAATACCTGATTATAGTCATTAACACAAACTTCAAGAAAGACAATTTACATCATTAGATTCAATCCTAATTACCTATTTATACAAATATAGTTTTGAACTTCACAGAAAGTTAGACAATGCAACTTCATTATTAGCAATATTACTTTTACATCTATTCTTATTTTGGTGATAAAAGAACAAATCAGCTATAGATCCTTCAGGTTTGTGATCCGTCAAGCTGCTGTTTGTAACCCGGAATTGTTCCAGACCTCATCTTTGGACGATTGTGGACTTTGAGTTCATGTCTTCGCATCATTTTTCTGAAATGATAAGTAATAGGTATCACAAATTAATTAAAGGACATTTTGAGAAATTATGGTATGTAACATCCTATTTTGATTTGACATTGTGATTGCAAAAGCTCTAAATTACAGACAATAAATTCCCTGGCTGGTATTGTCAAAATATTATAGTTATACAAATTACAAAAATATTTACTTCATAATAATACCTGATTGAAAATGTTTCACCGCAAGTTGCACAACTGAAGGGCTTCGCGTTGCTGTGTTGAGTGGCCACATGGTTTTGAAGAGCCTGCAAAAATAATATCATCTTTTTTCTGGGTATTTCAATTCTGAATAATTTGTGGTCAAATAGACTGAGATATTTGCACACAGGTTGATGTCTAAGAGCAAAGAAGCCAATAGAAACCATAAGTATTTTAAAAAAAATCATTATCTGATCTCAACAGAGATTGTACCGTTTCCTCTCTGTTTCCATGACATTTCTTTGCAATAAAAAATTACTCATATCACATAGACAGTTCAGTATCTAGGCTTCAATGGTTACAAAAATTGCCAGTCTATACCTGTTTGAACTTGAACCCTCTCTGGCATACTCTGCAGTGGAAAGCTGGTGGGAAGTGCATCTTCTTGTGAGACGCTAGGTTGGAGGCACTTCGGAATGCCGCCGGGCAGTAGGGGCAAGTCTTGGGCCGAGCCGCCGCGTGCCCATGACGTAGGTGCTGGTTGAGTTCGAATTTGGTACGGGAACGGAAGGGACAGCGCGTGCAGGAGAACGCTAGTTCTGCGGAGTGCGTTAGCCTGGGGAGAAATGAGGGTATAATTAGGCAGGGTGTTGATTTATCGATTTTAACTCGATAGTCCTACGCTGCGCTTTCCGGTACGTAGGACCTCCACCCACAAGGTGGACCGACGACCTCATAAAGGTAGCGGAAAGGTGCTGGATGCAGGCCGCCAACAACCGGCCATTGTGGAAATCATTGGGAGGCCTATGTTCGGCAGTGGACGTCCTATGGCTGAAATGATGATGATGATGAATTCGACAGTTTACTTAGTTAGCAGACCGATTTTATTAGTACTATCGAAGTTATTGATTCGGACCACGAACTATTGACGAAGCGCTATCATAAGTGTCTACTATCTATTACCGGTAAGTAGGTACCATTTTACATTCTATCTAGTCCCAAATAGCAAAGCTTGTCCTATGGCAATTTTTTCGTAAATACGTATACACAGAAGACTTCAGTTTGTATTACGCGAGGGTCGAGCCCGCGCCCGTCGATAGAGATAGTTTCATCCACAAAAACGCCCCACCATTCTTCGTTAATGTTAGTGTTATCGGTACACGTTAAATTATCTATGAGTGCACACGCACACTAAAATAATGACGCTCGGATTGCTCGGATCAAACCCTGCGCTTCCCTCGACCAAAACTATGAAAGAGAACCACACCATAATAATGAAAAATCTACCAATGCCTCCGGAGCCGCGTCTGTGTCTTTAGCTCCATGCCGCAGGTCTCGCACACGTAGCACTTGACTCGGCGACAGTACTCCAACTTGTCATGCTCCTCGAAAAGTTCCTGGAACATTGAAATATTCCAAGATAAATACCAATAAAAGCTTGTACATTTCTGAACGGGATTCGAACCCGTGAACCAAAGATTAAATTAAACCACTTTATAGTCAGTGGCAGGCAAAAAACTTAGCCTATCAAAAATACAACCTATTTTAGGATTTAGATCAGTAATTCAGTAAAAAGCGCCATCTATCGGACTTAATTAATTTCAGTTTCTGTAATTCACCTACAAAATAAGGATTCCACTATCAGATTCTTTGGGATAGTTAGAGGAATTAGGGGATTATTATAGGGATTTAAGATGTAATCCTTACCCTTTTTTGGAATACTCGATTGCATTTAGAACAGATCCACTCCCGCAATATCTTCGTTTTGGTTTCAACAAAGTACCCTCCATGAATTTTGGTTTGTTCTGGCTCCCATTCAGCAGTGCATTCATTAACTGAAAAAAGAATTTCATAGAAATGAGGCTTATATTTCATAAGTTGCTATAGATGTCATTATTTTTTGTGTTTATCTGTGGTTTATATTTACAAAAAAAAAATCATGTCATTTACCTAACTTGAGGGTACTTTCAGAAAAAATCTGATACAAATGTTGGGTGTGGTTTTAGTTTATTAGTGATTAGTGAGAGAGATGTGAAAAATTATCAAATTGTGTGAAATAATGAAGTTGAAACACATGGACATTTGGACGAAAAACCAGTCTGGTACATGTCAGGTAAGTTACTTTTACAATATTTCTAAATATTTAAGTATATTATCCATTGTGTCATACCAATAGTACAGATCACATCCTGGTAGACACTGACTATAACCCGGTTGACTTAACTGTGCACCTGGCGACTGTAACATGACTTCAACGCTCCCGTACAGACGGAGTGAATGTGGGGAGGTGTGCCAGGGACCGGCTTTTACCCGTGGTCCCCCCAACATGTCCCCCTGGTGGGTCCACGGGTAATTTTTTTTTACACGTTGTCCCACCGTTCTGAACAGTGTTGGCCAGTGGGTCTACGGGTAATTTATTTTAACCATGGTCCCACCGCACAAAGTGACAAACATTGCATGTCACCTAGGTATCTATAATTATAAAAAAATCTATAATTAATTATAGAAAATAATTATAGGTAGGTACGGCACCATAGATTTATAAGACTTATTCTTAAGTTCATACATATTTATTTGAGAATAAAGGATACATCGAAATTGGCACTGGAAAAATTAAGATAAATTTACTTTCAATTTTATTCCAAGAAGCAAATTTATTTTATTTTATTTCCAATTATTTTTTAATTAAACTTGATGTAAAAAAGAATAGACTTTCTATTTTATTTTATCGATTTTTTCCAAGAATATGAGGTGACATGCAACGTTTACCACTGTGCGGTGGGACTATGGTTAAAAGAAATTACCCGTAGACCCACTGGCAAAAACTGTTCAGAACGGTGGGACAACGGGTAAAAAAAATTACCCGTGGACCCACCAGGGGGACATGTTGGGAGGACCACGGGTAAAAGCCGCCAGGGACAGTTGCATTCCAGTGAGGTGCGCAGTTAGCTCGATCGGGTGGTATCTGAATACTTAACACTGATTCAGGTTCACTGACACTTAGTGGCCTTAACAGATCTACTTACCCATGTCAAGTTCCTGCTGCAACTGCCATTGTATGACGTCAGTGGATTGTTTCAATTCCGCTGCCTTCTGCACTGTGTCCTTACATGTGTAACATATGTGTTGCGGTTTACCGTCGCCTTCAAATACCTAATAATTTATACATTTTGTAACTTTGTTTGTTCTATTTTCATCAGCAATAATTTTATTGATTTACAAAATCTAAACTTCTGTGCCATGGGGTAATTAAATTGTTTAGAAATTTATGAACCTGTTTCCTGCGCATTTTAAATTAAGTTCATTATTTATCTTATGCAGTCAAAAACATACCTGAACCCCTAAAATACTCCTGATGTTGTTTGCCAAATCAAATTCCTTAGATTGGAATATATCTTCTCCTCCAGGAGTAAGACACAGTCGACAAGTTTTGTTTGATATTTGCTCTTCTAATATCTTTTTAAGTTTCCTGCAAAAGGGTAAATAAACTAGATAGAACATTTGAAACCTAGACACTAAGACTACATATCAACCTATCATTGTGTTGATTAACTTTAACTGTAGTTTGTGCAGAGTGTAGATATTTATTCAAGGTAGAGTAAAGCTAAGCATCCACCACTTGTCGGTATCGTACGCAACGGACGCATCGTACGAAACACATCGTATCGGATGTGCGACGATGCGTACCTACGATGCGGACAAGTAGACGCACTTATATGAGTTTCCATATAAATAATACTATGAACCGTTGCGTGCGATACGTCCGACGCGTACGATACCGACATGTGGACGCTTAGCTTAAGCTCTAGCATAACAGATAAAGGTAATAGGAAGACAGTGATAATAATCGCTATGCATGCAGTTTAAAGAGAAAATTCCTTTATGTGGCAGTTTCTGTAGTCCTCAGCTGGTGTTCTCTCTTTTTTCCAAACTAATACTTACTGTGCAACCTTGTTCTGCTTTGAGGCGTTACAATATCTCATCCACTTAACTCTCTCAAACTCGCATTTACCTATTTTAGTTGAAATTAACTTTTGAGCTAAAATTGAAGAAGTCATGTTGTTTTGATAAAAAAATCTAAATTTATGTATCAGTGGGTTTGCAGGGTCGAAATAATAGTGGACCTATTTATTGTTGTTCTTGAATAAGATTATTATTACAGAGATTTTTTACTACAACCATAATCTGAAAAAGAATTAATTCATTTCATTCACAAATTAAAAAAGTAAACACTACAAAATTCAAATCAGCAACAATTTGACAAGTCACAGTTTTATTTTAACGTGTGGTTTGATTTAAGTCAAAATGTCAAACTGAATCGATTGTAATCGATTAAAAATAATAGTAGAAGGAAATTGGTATTTGGGAGAAAGATCATAATTAATCTGAACATAAGGCTAAGCTATGATACTTGTATAGAAGGCTAATACAGATTCGTACCACCGTACTTCCCAATATAAATACTGTGTCTTATTTGTCTGCTGTAAGGCACGATCTTTTAATTAGGTACCACAGATATGGATTAGAGTGAGGTACAATAACTTCTTGTAAGAAGAACTAAACTACACGCTTCTGCCTGCCTTCTACTAAAAACTTAGATCAAGGAAAATAAGTAACAGTAGTTGTTTCAATACAATTTATTGATCATTGCCTCGATTTTATAAACATTTCAAATCACTTAGTTAAATTAAACACCAAAGCTATCTCCGTACATTTCATACACAGTCGGACAGTACTGCTTTGCCAATTGAGCATAAGGCGATGTTTTCGGAATACTGTACTTCATGGTCAAGTGATTCCACATGTGGTGGGCGTATGTCTTCTCCGAAGTCGTTAGGTTGCGACCGGCCTCGAAGTATAGTCGGTTCTGTTTGTAGTACACCGGGTAGAACACCTCTGGATCGTACACTTTGAAGCCTGGAATATGAATGTATTATTACTAAAAACATAAACTTATTTTAATAATTTCCTCTTGCTACTACAGCTACTTGAGTCTGACCAATGAAAGGTGGTGGAAAGAGCGGCAATATTCAAAAAACTTTCAGATGTTGACACGAAAAAATTTACTTGTTAATCTACTTTAGTTTTTTTAAATGCACCAGAAAGATTTTTATAATAATTGCTACTTTTAACTAGTGCTGAGATTCACAAAAGAACATTTCAGCAATTTCATACCGTTGCATCCGTGAATCCATTTTTTCTTCTTGGTTTTGAAACACATTTCCTTTACGACTCTCGTTATTACACCCGGGCCATTATACCCCCAATAGTTTGGATTGTAATTCTTTTTAAAATTCCTGGAAATAATAAAACATAAAAAGGTTAATACGTTGTACGTAATACATTATGCCATTAATAGACCCATAGCGTAACGATTAGTACTTAGCATTATTTAAAAGCAAAAATATCTTTCTTATAACTTACTCGACCGTAGCTGCAGCCATTTGGCGTCCCAGGCTATCCCTTGAGAACGACATGACACCGGAGACAACGGCAGTAATACTTTCTCTGCCGGACCAGTTCTTCTCCAGATCATCAAAGGGTTTTACCACCACAAAATCCGAGTCCATATAAACCCCTCCATATTTGTATAGCGTAAGATAGCGTAAAACATCCGAAGTGTGTTCGATCCTCCAAGCGCTTTTTTTGTAAGGACTAGCGGCGACTAAAGACTCCAGAGGTGTTCCCTTAGCGTACTCTTGGAGATGAATACGCATTAGCTTGACGTTCTTGTATTTGAGGAGTTTTGCAAGGAAACTCCTTTTGAGAATGAAGTCGGAAACTGGTCCACTGAAGAACACGTTTACTTGCCAGTCTGGATGTGCCTTGGCTGCTGATTCCACACCACAAGCCTGTCTTGAACTCAGCCCTCCTCTACAAGATGTTTCATGGAAAAATATCGATTTCTCCGGGGGATTGAAAGTTTCATCTACCAATGGCAACGCGTCATCTTCGGTGGAATAATGGCACGATATATTCTCCGTCATATTCCATTTTATTATGTACATTTCTGGAGAGTCTCGTATTTTTAGAATAAATATAATTATTCCGGTGATTAATACCGATATTATCGTCTTGTATGAGCATTTCTTACAACATAAATCCAGGAACACATGTGTAGCACGATTGTTTCTTACGAACATTAAATTAGCTAATCTTGCAAACACTGCAATAAAAAACATAAAAACTTATCAACATTCAGCATCGAAAGTAGGTGCTAACTTAGATTCAGGGTTATAACACGATTATGAATTAATAGGAAAGGCAGTAACAATTGCCCACTACTTAAATCAGACACTAGAAGAAAATCTTCTTGAACTTACCAATAATATTTTTGTTAAAAACACGCAATTTATTTTCACTAATGAATATAATAAATGATGTGTTAATGAATGTAAAAGCCACGAGTGACAGATGATATCGCAGTCCACTTTAATCGGAACAGGCAGGATGTAGTCCTATTTTTATCTGAACAGCATTTGGAGTTAGGCAGGAAAATCTTTAAACGAATAATTAAGTAGTTTGTTCATAATAATACGGTTATTTCACTCACTCACGGAAAAATAATGAATATAATTATGTGCGATGATTTGAGTTACGCAATCATCATAACTAAACCTATACTTAGCACTTCCTTGTTTCTAATAATTTAATTTTATCTTAACAGCACGACACTTTTGCTGGAAACCATAAACATTATTCGCCTATGATAGGTAGGTAAATAATAAAGTTATGATTACTTATTAATGAATTTAATTTATCAATAAATATATTTACAAATAGGATAATTATTATGAACCAGGTAAAAAACTGTGTTGCATTTCCTACTTGATAACAGTGTTAGAGTCCTCCAAACTCATCCACGAATATGCTATAAGCGGTCGGACAGAACGTTTTCGCGAGGGTATCGTATGGTGATCCTCTCTGTATCTTGAAGTGCTGGCTAAAATGGTTCCAAACGTGGTACACGTAAGCCTTGTCCATGTCAATGTGTCCTCTCTCAAAATAGACGTGAGCCTTTTGCCATTCGATAGGATAGAAGTATTCGGGACCGTATACTTCAAATCCTGGAAAAGATTTTTAGGAATTAAATATTTAAACCTATGGTAGCCACTGAGCGTAGGAAAATAACTCGCGGCTCCGTATCATTGGGCTCCGGAGGACACCATCGAGTTTTAGTTGGTAGGACACGGCCTTCTGGCGGGGAGAGCCCCACATAACCCACTGGCCGTCCCCATCAGTCAGTGGTGGGAACGTATTTCCCGATGGATAAAAGGGATAGGTAGGTCCACAATCCACATTACTGGACATAATTTAGACCTCCTAAGAGGCGCCTCAAATCACTACAAAATATTACACTGTCTAAGTTCAAACTTCAACTACTAGGTGGCTTACCACGACACGTCGCAGTAGTCATTTTCCACACATCAGCGGTTGAGCACATGTTTTTGAGTACCCTCGTAATCACACCCGGCCCATTGTGCCCCCACACATCCCCTCTGTAGTTCCACTTAATATCCCTGAAGACAAGTATTTATAAATTATCATCTGGAACAGGTCTTCTTGGGTATGGGACGCAGACAACAGAATAAATACATACATATTACACATAGTAATAAATTACCCAGACCCGTCACAGAAATTAAAATTCATCATATCAATTTCTGCCCGGCCGGGAATCGAACCCGGGACCTCTCGGCATAACAAAACAAACGCTGAGGCTTTGAAAATAGGTACGATTGGCTCACGCGGGATTCAAATCCGCTATTTCCAGTCCCAGTTTAAGCACCGTATTTTTTAAATATTTTTCCTTAATTACTAACAATAAATAATAGACAGATAGGTAATTGCACAACCACTACTAATCAATCTTATTCGACTGAGGTCAAACTTTCGATCGATTTTGTCAACTTCATTAGAGTCTAAGTAGAAATTGCCCTTGGAGTCGATGTTCTTATTTGTTTTTGTCGCATCCATTAGTAATATCCGTGTTACTAGCGAAGAAAAGTTTTAATTGTAAACTAGCATAAGTTTGGTTTCTCGTTGAGTTAGGCTTGGGACTTCAATGTAGGTAGACTATGTTTGCAAGCAGCAAATGCCATTACGGTTATACGATTTTCATTGAAGAGTAAAATCCTTTTCAAAATCGACATGACCGCTTTTTAAATAATGTGTTTACGTTACGGTATGTAGGTATATTAAAATGCTTACCTTATAGCAGCTTCAGCGACTTGTCTCCCTACTTTATCATCAGAGAAGGCCATCGCTCCTGCAGCAACAGCTATACCACTTTCCCTAGCAGCCCAGTTCTTCACCAGGGACCCCAAAGGCTTAGCCACCACCACGTCCAAGTCCAAATACACTCCCCCCCATTTGTACAAGGATAAGTATCTCAAAACATCTGACGCGTGCGAGATACGCCAGCGAGTCCTGTTCAGTGCTCCTCTTGCTACAAACTTCTTCAAAGGGGTGTCTTCTGCGTATTTTACTACGTGAATCCTGTAGAAGTTCACGTTCTGAAATTGCCCCAGAAGTACGCTGTTGTTTATTAAAGTGTCCTTAGTCGCTGGAGCTGTGAAAAGGACATTTATCTCCCAGTCAGGATGAGATCTTGCTGTTGATTCCACAGCGCAAGCTTGACGGGCATCTAGACCTCCTTTGCATGAGGTCTCGTGGAAAAATATGGATTTGGACGAGAATTTCACTTTGTCTGCTGATGGTAACACATCCTCAGCTTCTAAGTAGTGGCAGGATATGTTCTCCAACGGCTTCCAATGTATGAAGTAAAGATCTGGCGATAAGTCCGTATTCAGGATTGCTATCAAGAAGAGAATTGAAAGTGCTACGATAATGATTTTTGCGTGTCGCTTGGCTTGTTTTAAGAACATTCTGGATGTTGCATGTTCCGTTATTTCTGGTTTCTTTGAAACTTGTGACTTACATGTTGGTAATGGAAGGTTTTGTTAATGACTGAGGTGTCGAAAGGTAATGGACGTAATCGCGCAGTTGAAAGCCGACATGGGAGTCTACCCATCTGTGGAGTGGCCAATCGATTGACATTGGTTAACATAATTGCGACGTGCCATCGCACGCCACGGCCTACCCTCTAATGTTCCCATCGAAGACTTTTATCCCTTTCGGACCGCTCCAATACAATTGTGCGGGTTACAAAATCGAGATTATCTCATTAGTTTTACATCGGAAGTGGATGGGCTGAGTGTCGTACGATTGTGCGGGATGCGTTCTTTTACCTCCCGTGCAAATTTTGTCCGAAGCGCAGTTGGTGAGCAGGTTACAAACTGTACAGTTCATGACTGATTGCGCTCCCCGACTTGGCGAAAGAAAGTACCTACTATGGTTTTATTTTGTAATTGTAGTAATATACAAGTTATTGATTAGACAAATAGTTAAAAATAGCATCTTTTTGTAATAACAGTGACTACTTGTAAGCAAAGGCTTTGGCGTAACGGCCTAACGAACTTTACTGACACAATTGTATCGTCGTGGGCCCTACAATACCTTATGCGTATTTTAAGTTTCTCGTAATTATCAATTTTTCATGGTTTCCGCACCATGTTTCCGATTTTAAACGACGCTACTATCGCAGAGATGCTCAAAGCATCTGGGGATGGGAGCGATGACAACGACAAAAGCTAGTTTCGACTACTTCAGATGAACTACTCCTCTTCTTCAGATGAAGGCTCAGACATTCATGACGATACATACCTCTGAGTATGCAAGCGGCATAGCAGACGAAGCCCTTCAATCGTCAACATCTTCCAGGAGATGCTGTTCATGATCCAGGAGATATTAAAACTCCATAGGAATATTTCGAGCGCTATATTTACTGTTGAGCTCATGGAAGAGATGGTTTTGCCCACAAATCAATATTAAATGGCAAATACTGGTATAAAAATTAAACCTGTTTATTCCATACTGGTTATAAATACGTTTTTCCGAATACATGCCATTGATAAAATTTCCAAATCCCTTACAATTTTGACCCTCACAATTGTACGTAGGAAGTGAAGGGCCCAGTTTGATACAATTGTTGGTATATGAATTTTCCAAGATGGCGGCGGAAAATCTGGAAAATTATAGCAGATTCGTAATCTGCGGCCCCAAATTACCTAAAATTCATGTTCAAAATTACAAATTTCTTTCTAGTTTAAGCGCGGGTCCGAAAGGGTTAAAGCAGACACATTAATTGTAGACATTTTTAGAAAGATGACAGCGATGGATCATTAAAAATAGATCAGTTCTGTGAATGTTATTAGTTTGGTTGACGTGTTGATTGTTTTTAATTTATAGTGTTTTAACGTAGATAATGGATAACAGCCATAACGGTACAAATAAAGTGGCATCTAATTATGTGTTCGTTTTCATTAATAATTTCCTAATTATTCGTTGTAATCGTTGTAGTCGTAAAAAGAAAATGAAACGTAACGTAAACGTAAAGAAACGTCTAATGAAGTAGGAAAGTTTTTTACTCGTACTAATTTTCTACATTGTTATAAATAAAACATATTTTAACATCATATAACTTTATTCCGCATTCATTCAATAACTTATAATTAAATTACATTTTACAGTGCCATATCATGATAAAATAAAACCCTATGAATAAATAAATTTAAGACTCGTTTATATCTAGACATGCTACTGCATTATCGATTACGTAAAATGGAAATAAAAATTCACACAGCGACCTGAAATCAAATATTTTTACTTAATTATAAACATAGGAGAAGTTGGCTATATCGTTTTAATTAAATCCCAGAAAATTAAATAATGTAAATAAAGATTCAAATGAAATCCCTAAATAAATTGTGTGACATTTATTTGCCATAGGAATATTAAAAATAAGCAATACACAAGTCCTTAACATAAACATAACTTTGGAAAGCATTTATAGAAATATTATAAATTCAAATTACAACTAACACAAAATTAATTAATAATAAAATTACATACATCTTTGTACCATAACATACTTTCATCACGATTATTAATAATTCGATATACAATTGATAAAATAATGTGAATAATATCGAAGAGTGACCAAGTATTTTTGCTTTCTTTATTAAGGGAATGATTGTCAAAAAATTGACAAAAAAGAACTGATTTTAGGATCGTATTACACTGTTCGTATTAACCTGATCGAGTTAACTGCGCAACTCGCGGGCCCTACATTTTTGTTTGCACCGTCCGTGGCAGTGTCGATGTGACGTCACGGCCGCCGCGTGCGCGGTTAACTCAACCGCTGCGGTAAGTATAAATCTTTAATTGTCAAAAATTCTAGCAGCCGAACACGCATGTTTGACGGATGCTTGGATTCCGTATAATAGGCTAGTTTCCTAAAAAAACTTTTTTAGTCCGTCATGTTTAATATCAAAAAATATTGGACACATATATTTTTATTTGTCAATCTAACAAATAATTACATAGTTATGGTGCGTTGAAGTTCCGCACGACGTCACAACGTGCAGCAATTTTATGCAAGCATTGACGTCACGGGCCTCTTCTTATGAACTTTGGCGCGCTTATCTCTTTAAATTTTAATTAGTTTGAAAAAGTGAAAAATACGTGTAGAGTATTTTTTGATAAGTTAACTGACGGACTAATTAAAACTCTTGCTTTTTGAAGAACATCCCTATTATGTATAATTTTAACTTCCCACGCCTTTTTACACGTTGTTTTCCATACAAAATTTAAAGTATTTTAAATATAATAATATGATACTAAGAGGAAACTATCTATTCATTACATATTTTTTGCTTTTCACATTTTTTTAAAATCATGGAACCAAATATATCCGTGCCAAATTAAAAAGCTAATAATAAAATACTGCTTCAGAATGACTTTAAGTACAAATACAATAAAATAAACGCCAAAATAAATAATAATTTACTTAATGATCATTTCTTTTATGGTTACTACACGCCTGTATTAGGGTGAGATACGTCCACCGTCAAGTAAATAGGTTTTAATACCATAAATATAGAACTGGAATATAAACTTTATACCCGTGGCATTAGGACCTTATTTGCTTGAAATCACATTCATTTCAGGGAACATATTTTTAAAACATTGGAAATACAATTTACATACTTAATAGCACATAATAGTAAAGAAAAAAGGGCTACCGTTGTTATATTTAACAGTTGGCACTACTGGCAAGTGTCAGGGCCTTAGTCTACAGTGGCGCCATTCTGTAGGCCTAAGATGCACGCCGTGATAATATATATCGACGACAAATGTACGGGCAAAATCGATAAAACGGCGTGATAACCGCTTATCGCGGCGCGCATCTTAGCGCTTCACCAAATGGCGTTACAGTCTTGGCCACTAGCAATAAGACCTTACACTACAGTAGCGCCAACTCGTGAGTGCTAAAAGAACTAAACACAGGTATTTTCATTAATACATAATTATACATTTATATTTTACTAGCTGACCCGGCGAACTTCGTACCGCCTTAGCGTAGAGATTTTCATAATATTTTTTTCCGTAAGAACCATCCTTGGACTTCCACAAACATTAAAAAAAAAGAATTATCGAAATCGGTTCAGCCGTTCACACGTGATGCCGTGACAACGCGAAACGGGTTTCATTTTTATATATATAAGATAAGATAAGATAAACTAATGTGCGCGTTTAAAGTCTTATTGCGTATTTACACAGTGTATTATTGTAAATACACAATCAGCAGTATTTAAAAACCGAAGTATAAAACAAAGAAGTTTGATAATTATATCTTTAGCCCACAGATAAACTAAACTCTAAGAGAGTGGATCTTCAAAATTAAGCACTTGGCACTTTATTTGCCATTGAAAAGGCTCACTTGTGATGTCGTTGTAATAGTTTAAAATTGCTAAAAATTGACACCGAATATTGTAATACGAGGGCTGCACTAAAAGTATCGGGAATGGAATATTTCCACTGTTCCTATCATATTTAAATCTTTTTAATTGCAAACTCCTTGGTTTTAAAAATCTAATACCATTTATTTATTTAAAAAAAGATTCTCGGTCTTATCACAAGGTCTTGTGAAACTTGTTTAGTCGTTGAGAAAATGGAATTGACTCAAGAAAATTCAAAAGCGATGATTTATTATGACTTTCGAAGTGGTTTAACACAAACACAGTATGTTGACCGGATGATTTCTGCATTTGGTAATGAAGCCCCATCCTAAACCACAATTTATCGCTGGTTTGCTGAATTCCAACGTGGACGTGTCAAGCTCTGTGATGATCCCCGTCAAGGTCGTCCAAAAACTGCAGTCACCCAAGAAAACGTTGATGCTGTGCGGAAGCTGATTGAAGAAGATCGACATGTGACATACCGCGAAATTCAGGCAACTTTAGACATTGGCATGAGTCAAATACAAAAAATCTTGCATGAACAATTAGGAGTAAAAAAGTTGTTTTCCTGATGGATCCCGCATTCGCTCTGTGAAGAGCAAAAAGCGGCTCGCGTTACTTGGTGCGTCAGAACTCTCGGAAGATTACATGCAGGATCCTCAAATGCTGTATACAACATCGTATCAGGTGACGAATCATGGATATACGCGTACGAACCCGAAACAAAAAACCAGTCACGAGTTTGGGTGTTTGAAAATGAGTTAAAGCCAACAAAAATTGTTCGTTCACGGAGTGTTGCAAAAAAAATGGTGGCCACGTTTGTCTCCAAAACCGGCCATGTTGCGACTATTCCTCTTTGGGGACAAAGAACGGTTAATGCAGAATGGTATGCTAGCATTTGTTTGCCACAGGTTGTTTCTGAACTCCGTAAAGAGAACTGCAACCGCGGCATCATCCTCCATCACGACAATGCGAGTTCTCACACCGCGCACAGAACAAAAGAGTTTTTAGAGCAAGAAAACATAGAATTATAAGACCATCCGCCGTTCAGCCCCGACCTAAGCCCTAATGATTTCTATACTTTCCCTAAAATAAAGAATAAATTGCGTGGTCAGACATTTTCATCACCTGAAGAAGCTGTGGACGCCTACAAAACGGCCATTTTGGAGACCCAAACTTCCGAATGGAATGGTTGCTTCAATGATTGGTTTCGTGTATGGAAAAATGTGTCAAATTTCGCGGAGAATACTTTAAAAAGCAATAAATACATTTTTAAATAGTAATGTTGTTTCACTTCCTTGATTCCCGAAATTTTCAGTGCCGCCCTCGTAATGTATTTTATACAATCTCAACTAATATTATAAATGCGAAAGTAACTCTGTCTGTCTGTCTGTCTGTCTGTCTGTCTGTCTGTCTGTCTGTCTGTCTGTCTGTTACGCTTTCCCGCTTAAACCTCGCAACCGATTTTGATGAAATTTGGCATTGAGATAGTTTGAGTCCCGGGAAAGAACATAGGATAGTTTTTATCCCGGTTTTTGAAACAGGGACGCGCGCGATAAAGTTTTTCTCTGACAGACAAAATTTCTCGCGGGCGAAGCCGCGGGCGGAAAGCTAGTAATATTATAAATGCGAAAGTAACTCTGTCTGTCTGTCTGTCTGTCTGTCTGTTACGCTTTCCCGCTTAAACCTCGCAACCGATTTTGATGAAATTTGGCATAGAGATAGTTTGAGTCCCGGGAAAGAACATAGGATAGTTTTTATCCCGGTTTTTGAAACAGGGACGCGCGCGATAAAGTTTTTCTGTGACAGACAAAAATGCACGCGGGCGAAGCCGCGGGCGGAAAGCTAGTTCCTATATAATTTCACGCAATGCTGATTCTCAAAGGTCTAAAGATTTGGGCGACATAATGCATGCCATCAAACAAATAAATTCCTTGTGTCATTAGTGTAAGATGCATAATTCAAATTCTCTGTTTCAGATTTTCGGCTTCTCGCAGAAATGAATAAATAACATCGAGCCGAAGAAGAAATATGCACCTTAAGCCCAATGCAAAAAGGGTTTATTAGCTTAAAGCTACTTGAATGTATTATTTTGTGTACTTTTTAGCTGCTAACGGTGACAATTCTGTAGAAATAATCGCACGAGAATTTCAGAATTTAAGAAAGGCTCTCTTTCACTTCGAAGCAGATAAAAAGATACAAGACTATTGAAATCAAAAGTAAATAAAACTAGCTCAAACACCGTTTAACTATAAAATTATGTATCTCTTTCATTAATGGGCATTCAGTACTTGTCAAAAAGTGACAAAGCATTAAACAAAATCGAGAACCAACAGCACATGGTTTACTAGAGTAGTACAAGAAAATCGCCTCTATTTTTACCTGAGTATACATTTAGACAAATCCAAAATATTCCCTATTGTAATCCTAACAGATTGAATTACGCCAAATCTTTGTGTATAGTTCTTCTGTATCATGCACTAAACTAATACCTCGCGGGTACTACTGGATTGCTACTGGGCTGTTTGAATCTATTTAGAATAATATTATATTTCGTCTAAACTATTTCACTATCCTATTAATAGAAAAGCTACATTACAGCTCAGAAATTATTTAAATGAGATGAAGCTTGATCAGAAAATAAAACCATGGCTCACAGATATACAATTTTCAAACTGTCAATTTGACTTTCCCTGACGAATGTGCCTAAGCAAGCTCAACAATGATAAATCCCTGAGAGGTATAAAGATTAAGAATATTTATCCACAACACTTAATGCATCGTGTTTGGGTATACTGATATCAATTTATATCCTACATCATCCTATTCTGTTCATAGTTATTTAATTTTTTAGCGTTAAGAGTTACATCTCAAACTAATTTGAAAACTTGAAAAAATCGAACTGCCTACGGCGGGAATTGAACCCACGACCTTCCGCTTGCCGGGCGACTGCTCTCTTCCAACTGAGATACTTAGCTATTCTGTTCAATTTTGTGACGGGGGATTTTCTTCTAGGGCAAACTTCTTTTCCCCTATGGCGATATTTTGTTTGCGAATGTCAAGTGAGCACATAAAGTATCAAGTTGTGTTAGTCCACCCATAGACTTACGCTGAGCTAGTGGGAATTGACATTGATATTGAGAGCTCAATACAATAACTGACTAAAAAGTGACTACTTTCGATAACGCGCCTTTTATTAAAAAAAAAAAAACTACGTCAGGGCATAAAAAATAGACATTTGCTCTAGTTTCTGACCAAGCTTCATAAAATTAATTCCTATTTTTTACAGATCACAATAATAAGATAATTCTACGCCGCAATTGAAAACTCAGCGAATTTAGTGTTTGTAATTTACTAGTAGATTATAGTTATGCCATAAATGGCAGTTGTATGAACTACGTTAATATGAACGGCTGTCTTATTTGAGTATAAATTGTAATTATATTTCAATATTTTTTTACAAGCACGTTGCATTGCTTTTTGGTGTGATTTTCTATGGAAAAGCATCTTATATTGTATTTAGTGTGTGTGGATAATAATAATACCAGACGTGTATAATCGTTTGATTATACAGAGTGTTGCTTTAAGTATGGATAAAACAATAAAGATTGATGCTTCTACTCAGATGTCTTCAACTTTCCTATAAACAAAATCCAAATTCTCAAAATACATTGACGTTCCCCATACTAATTGGCTTATTACTGACGATCGTATGGAAAGATTTTTTGAAGGTTTGAACTTCCTTTCCGTTAAAATCTTTTTTGTTTGACACATACATAAAGCGACTCCTGTAGTTTTGTTTTTGTTATAGCGCCATCTATCGCGTATCTTTCTATCACGTATACATATTAGAAGAACCTAATATAATCACTCAGACGACACAATTATTTGAAGTGATAACAGCTTCGTAGATAATAATAATATAAACATTTGACAGATTTATATTCTTATGGACATAAGAGTTTATGTCTGTTGAAAGTATACATCCCTTCATTCAATTACATTACTGTACGAGACAAAATTAAATAACAGTCGAATACAGTTAGGCTATTCGCGCAAGGCTGACAGTATATCTATCTCTTTTGCACCTTTATTGAGAGAAAGAGAGATAGTAAAAAGTCTCCCGTGCGCGGCTAGCCTTTCTATTTTCACTCATTCTTCATTTTTATTTTGCATCTTTCATTGTATCAGTCATACTCCATATTGAAGTTGTTATAATAACAATAATAATGGAACCACTCGCGTATCACTTTACATTATTGTGTTTTAGAAAGACCTGTCGGTTTCGAAATAGGTGATTCTGGTGCTAAAATAAAAGAGATTTTTGTATGAGACCAACAAATTAAAACATATTATAACCTTGTCTAGTCTAAATTAGACTCTTATGGCGCAAGTACACTATGCGGGAAATTGGCTATATAATAGTGTGAACGCCATCTCGGTTACTTTCTCATGTCCCCACTCGTGTGTCGCCAATACTTCGGTGTGCGATCTAGCGCTTCGTCTCCGTAAATTTTGTGCTTAGGGTCAAGGAGGCAACAGTGACTCGGTCGGCTACAGTGGCCCAGTCATGTTTCGACCTGAAGGCATAGGAATATATATTTGTCTCTTTTACCGATTCAAAGGTCTTGGTACCCGAACACGTTTAAACCAGTTTGCTCGCCGGTCAAGTGCCGTGCGGAAGGGTGAGGGAATGTTTTTTGTTTTCGCGCCCTCTAAATTACATTCTAAGGTGAGTTTCGATTGTTTTCATATCTTTGTTTGTTGCTATAGGTAATAGCCGTTATATTTATCGGATAGTAGGTCTTGTATCAATTGTCTTTAATCCGAATTTTGACTAATTTGTTTTACATCTTGGTTTTTTTGATCAAATATTTACAAAATGGCGTAGAAGTACACAGTGACTCAATTTTAATACTTTATACGAATTCAATATTTTATAACTGTAAATCGAATTTTGTTTTTTATTCACAGAATGCCACGGAAAAAAACCGACAGAAAAATAGGGAAAAAATAAATAACGAAGAGATTGAGATGACTTAAGATCTTATAGGTAGCAATAAAAGTACTAAGAGTCGTGTTGAATTGTTGATTATAATAAGAATAGCTTGTGCAGTTTTGTTATTATTTCTAATAAAAAACTACGCGGAATGGGCATTTTCTTTTCATATAAATACTGCCTTACCACGTTAATACTGTGTACCACGGTAGTGAGTCAGTGTGTACACCTAGTAGTCCACAGTGGCTCAATTATCATTTTTTTGTTTTAGGTTCCTACTTTGACATAAGTAGTAAATAATGTAGAATCATGAGTGCTCAGTTACAGTTCAATAGTGTATCTAAAATGTGAGCAAATTTTAGGCCAATATTAAAGCGATATCTATTTTTATTAAGCTTCGAAAAAAAAGTGAGTCACTGTTGCCTCCCTGACCCTAGTGTATTTGCGCCATTACAACTTGTATGGGAAAGTGAAATTATTTGAGATTTACATTGATCCTCTACAAAAAAAATCTATATTTATACCAGAATCGCCCCTTTTCGAATCGAACAGTGAGCGTAGTGTGAGTTTACGTCAAACGCATTCGTTGTCGACTGCGTAAAAAATTGTCATCAAATGTATGACGAATTGTACAGCGACCCTAGCGGAAACTTTCAAGAACAAATCTTCATATATTTTTAACGCGCCCTCAGATTTATTATAACACCGCGTATACAGGGTGGAAACGATAAGTGATCTCATTCGATTATTTCTAAACTATACAAGATATTGAAAAGCTGGTTATTGATCCTGAAAGAGTTAACTAGCTCTATCCAACGGTACTAATAATAGGTTACAGAATTAACTGGATCTATTCAAAAATTAAATGTTTCCATATGCCCAGCCAAACAATATTATAAGTATTAAGTGTTTTTTATTAAATAAAATGAACACTTAAAATGAACTCGTAAATTGCATTCTAATTTAAAATTATTCTTTGAAAACATTGGTTTTAGGCTTTACTTGCTCTAATATTATCAAGACATGAGTGCCATGACTGTGGCTGTACTAAATGTATGGAAGCTGGAAACATTGAATTTTCGGATAGATCCAGTTTATTCTGTAACCTATTTATTGGTACCGTTTGAAAAAGCTTGCTTGAACTTTCAGACTCAGTAATCAGTTTTTCGATATCTTATTCAGAAATTTGATATCATCATTTTATTTTTTTTTAATTTTCATACAAAATAAATTTTATAAAATCAGCTATGTATGAAAAATAAAATTATTAAAATGAAGATACCAATTTACTGACTTCACCATACCATTTATATGACCATGTTAACATGGGCTAGTGTCGGCTCATATACCCATTTACCTAACACCCTGTATAGTTTAGAAATAATCGAGTGAGATCACTTAACGTTTCCACCCTGTATAATAGCCGTTACATATCTACATATTGACGTGAATACCGCGCGGTCAGCCGTGCCATATGCATATGGACGGTTTGTACTATTGCGCCGGCAGCGACGGCTGCGTCGGACGGGAAGGAGAATGGGCACGCGCCGGCTCCTCCGGTTCCTCTTGCTTTTTGTTTTGGACGAATCTGTAATAACATTCGTGTATTAGATAAGGGTATCGCTGTTAAAATATTTGGGGCATTCCACGCGAAGCGGGCAGGTAAAAAAAGTCGATGTTTCCGATTTCAGTAATATTTGAGTATGTTCTACCTATACATATTATTGATACGTGTACCAAATTTTTTTGTAATATAATGACTAGTTTAAGAGTTATGGGTCTTCGAAGTTTTCGACAACCGGTTGGCATGCAGTACTTCAAAGCCGATTATGGAGTCATAAAATTATATATTAAAATAATTAAACCACGGGATTTATTACTTCATTTACCGTGCTTTTTAACTGTATTTTTGGAAACGAAAAAAAAATTATTTTTTCCTAAAAAAAATGCAAATTAATTTTTTTTCCTTGATTTTCACAAAGTTCGACCCTTTCGATTTTTTTAATTTTTTTTATTTAAATAGCTAATATTGTGTAGAACATTCATGCCAACTTTCAAAGTGGGCGTGGAAGTGGATTCGGAGCTAGACTGAAAATACTGCCGAAGGGTGGCGTCCAGCGCCGCGCCGTCGCGCTGCCGCGCCTGAAGCCCGCCGCCTGTGCGCGTTTAGTGAAACTGACAAGCAAATAAAATCACTTTTGACGAAATGTTTTTTAGATTTTTAATAACACCAATACATTTTTAGTACCTATTAAATACTAAAAAATACGTTATGGCCAGGCTTGTTCTTACTCGGACACTGAAAGGATCGCTCCGAACTCCGAAAATCGGTCAAATGAACTAGTTCGGTCTTCTAGTACTATTAACTAGCACATTTTAGTACACTGATTCTATTAGGTAGATCGAACGAAAAAAGTCTTTATTCATATGCATTTATGGTCCAATATCGAAAAATACTCGCTACACACTCACAGAGCCGAATCCATCTCGCTCGCGCGCGGTTGTCACCAATTTCACGTCTCGTTCACACCTATTCATTAGTGATCGGCTGTACTAAAGTGAACTAAAAGACCGATTTGAACGACCAAGACGGAATAGTTCGTTCTCGTTCACTTAATTAAAGGAATTGCTTCCTATTAGTACATAGTACATGTACTACACAAGCCTAGTTATGGCGTATCCGCACATGCCGGGCGGCACGGCCGGTTCGGTTCGGTTCTGGGTATTAGTCCTGACCTAAATTAACTGGTGGATCTATTAATCCGGTCCACAATATCTTCTAATTACCAATAATTTACGACCTTTCAAAAGACTAGATAGAATGAAAGGTCTAGTATTCATTATATCTAAAAATTATTATGAGCCACTTAATTTCATAGGAATAGGATGAAAGCACTGACGACCGTCTGCCTCCCACATAATCGCCTTTTGTAACTCGAAAGGTATAAAAATAACAGCTCATTCTATTTTTGTTAGGAAATATTCACAGTTACGAGTAATGTAATTTATTTTTCACGATACGGAAAAACGCAACTTTATTTACTACTACTACTTTATTTTATAACGTATTTTAGTATTTAATAGGTATTAAAAATGTCTTGGTGTTATTAAAAATCTACAAAACATTCCGTCAAAAGTGATTTTATTTGCTTGTCAGTTTCACTAAACGCGCACAGGCGGCGGGCTTCAGGCGCGGCAGCGCGACGGCGCGGCGCTGGACGCCACCCTTCGGCAGTATTTTCAGTCTAGCTCCGAATCCACTTCCACGCCCACTTTGAAAGTTGGCATGAATGTTCTACACAATATTAGCTATTTAAATAAAAAAAATTAAAAAAATCGAAAGGGTCGAACTTTGTGAAAATCAAGGAAAAAAAATTAATTTGCATTTTTTTTAGGAAAAAATATTTTTTTTTTCGTTTCCAAAAATACAGTTAAAAAGCACGGTAAATGAAGTAATAAATCCCGTGGTTTAATTATTTTAATATATAATTTTATGACTCCATAATCGGCTTTGAAGTACTGCATGCCAACCGGTTGTCGAAAACTTCGAAGACCCATAACTCTTAAACTAGTCATTATATTACAAAAATATTTGGTACACGTATCAATAATATGTATAGGTAGAACATACTCAAATATTACTGAAATCGGAAACATCGACTTTTTTTACCTGTCCGCTTCGCGTGGAATGCTCCATTTGTTGGTTATATTGAACATTATCGCGTAACAAACATAGAAAAAAAAAACATACGGGTCGAATTGAGAACCTCCTCCTTTTTTGAAGTCGGTTGAAAAATTGATTTCTTTTTAGGGTTCCGTAGCCAAATGGCAAAAAACGGAACCCTTATAGATTCGTCATGTCTGTCTGTCCGTCCGTATGTCAAAGCCATTTTTTTTATTTTCAGGTAAAGAAGTCTGAAAAGTTGTGAAGTATACTATGCGACCACAAAATACGGTTATTTAATGAAACAACTTGTAAACCTTTCACGCAAATAAACTGATTTGATTTGATTTTGACTTATCCATAAAAACTCATAGCACTCATTAATTTTTGCAAATAGGCTTTTAAAAAGCACTTTTATAGCATAGTCTACAAGTTGCAGGCGCGTGGTGTAGCTTACTACCAATAGGCGACCACTATTGTTCGTAAGCAACCTTTAGACATTCAGTGATCAATCTCGAAAGTGCGGGTTAACCTCATAGTAGACTGTAAAGTAACTGATACACATGGTCAGTAAGGCACCAAAGTACAAATGTGAGGTGTGGCCTTCAATCGATGGAAGTAACGGCACAGTAGGTGACCATCTGTTGACCAACCTCATACCAACGTGTTACAACCAAACTGTAGACATCATTCGTAGTCTCTAAAATACAAGCGCGAGGTGGTAGCCTACAATCGAAGGCTGTCACACTAGACGACCATATGATCAAAATGCCTCTACATGCCTAGCGGCAGAGGCTACTGACTTAAAGACATCATGGGTGGTCTCTCAAGAGACCACGTCAAGGCCACACTGAGTGACCACCAGTCGCCCTACCTATCTAACCTCTTACTATGTATTAAACTGACCTGTAAACATCGTCAGTAGTCTGCAAAGTCCCCAGCCCAAGGTGTAGCCTTCGTCCAATAGGCGGCGGCGCGGCGCTGGGCGACCACCAGTCCACCACGCGGCCCACCACGGGCACGCGCCGAAGGAGCCCTTCCTGCCATAGCCACTCGGCTCACAATGAGGGCTATCGTTTTTATACTTAAGAGTTGGCACCCCTGGCGATTGACAGGACCTTACTCTATCTGGCGCCATCTTGATGAATGCAAATGCGATAGTCCTCCTACCACTTTAGCGCTCACCAGTTGGCGCCACTGTCTTCGCTACTAGCAAGTGACAGGACCTTACTCTACCCTCGTAGCGCCCACGGATTTTTTGGATCCTCTTTAACTACGACCCGACCGTCCTTCTTATAGGACTTATAGTTATAGTCCTATCAGCCCAAGATTTTGTGTTGAAATTCGTATGTGTTAGAGTTACCGGTTTGAAGTGAAACTTTCAGGGTATAATTATGATTATATTAGCATGTGTTTTTAAATTCAATTATTTGTCTACCTTTTGTTCTTTACAAAGGCCATCGGGCCACAAATTCTAGATTAAAAGGAAGTATTAAGTGATGTAAAATTAAATAATACAAAAAATTAGTAGTGTAAAGAGTATTAAATTAATAATAATAATAAATATAATAAATATTTTTGAACAATTTCACACATAACGCTATCTAGCCCCATAGTAAGCAATTAATATGCTTGTGTTATGGGTGCTCGCTTAACGGATATACTACATTATATACGTTTTAAATACATACATATTATACTAGTAACACCCAGACCCATCACAGAAATTAAAATTCATCATTTCAATTTCTGCCCGGCTGGGAATCGAACCCGGGACCTCTCGGCATAGTAGTCCCTTTTAGAACTACTACACCAAACGGCCGACAAATAATTAATTAATTAAATTAATTATTAGTGAAAGATAAGTTGCATTTTTATATTAGTAATATTCCATAAACCAATATAACACAAAGCCACAAACTAAAAATATTATGATATTTTTAGTACTATAACACAAAGCCACAAACTAAAAATATTATGATATTTTTAGTACTAGCTTCGACCCAACCGCCTTCACAAAGTACATATTATTTCAAACCAAGATTTCGCAGAATTTCTGCCCTAAAAATGCAAAGTAATTATCTCTATTTAAGTAATACCTATTCGTTAGCAACTTTTTGCATAAAAACATACTCGACAACCACGGATTATCATAAAAAAATGCGATTTACTAACTACGTGTTAGTGAGCCGTCCATACCGCCGGCCATTTTTAAAAAAATCCCATCTGTCAATTGTGACAGCCAATGGTAGCATACCGGAAACTGTTCCCTAATATTTCGTTCAGAAATCGAATTAAATTATTTCTTTAAGCCGCGAAATTTCAAAAATCTAGACAAAGTTTAATAATATGGCCTTCTGAAAGGCGCATGGGCGGTAATTGAAAGTTAGTTGAAAAAAGTTCTGGGCTGTAGTCGTCATGTTTATTTTGGGTTATCAAAAGGCGCGTGGGCGCTACGAGGCTACAGTGGCGCTAACTGGTGAGCGCTAAAAACGATAGCCCTCATTGAAGCATCCACCACCTAACCTCAAATATCCGTAGTCTCCAAAGTAAAATCGATCGGTGGGGTGCAATACTGAGTAACCATCTTTTGACCAAACTCTTACTTAGGTACTTAGTGGTGTCGCAAAGTCGCAACAGTAACTAGAGTAGTCTTCAAAATACACACTAAGTGAGCATATTTTGACCACGTTCTTACCTACTTACTGGTATACAATCAACCTGTGCGACCACCAGTCGTTCTACCTGTCTCCTTTCGGAATATGTATGCAACTATAGTCTGGTCTGTGAGCACGTAGAATTTTGTCCAATGACCCCAAGCTACTCATCCTTATCGTTCGCGCGTAATTAATAATTATGTTGCTATCGCGCTCGCACACTCACTGCGGGCGCCCGTCGCACAGTCGCGACAGCAATATAATTACGCGCGAGTGAGCTTGGGGTCATTGGACAAAATTCTACGTGCTCACAGACCGGGCTTTATCGACTGACCTGTAAACATCGTCCGTAGTCTGCAAAGTCCCCAGCCCAAGGTGTAGTCTTCGTCCAATAGGCGGCGGCGCGGCGCTGGGCGACCACCAGTCCACCACGCGGCCCACCACGGGCACGCGTCGAAGGAGCCCTTCCTGCCATAGCCGTTCTGCACTTTCGCGCTCCAAATCCGCTTGCGCTGCTTCGATTCCTGAGGACAGTTTTGGGTTGGATAAGGAGGCTTGTTTAAAGATGATTAAAACTAAAGTTAGAGTCTGATATGATATGTGGCGCCATCTATAGCGCTACTTTGTATGTCTGATTATTAAAATCAGTTTATTTGCAAATTCATTTTATTTAGTTTTTAGACTAAACTTCACATTTAAAGCTTCGATATTCATCTTAGCACCACTTACACATAATGATATTATCTGATGGACTCATCGTTTCAGAACTACGCTAAGCATTCTCGCACTTATCATAATTATCATCTTGTGGAGAAGCAGCCTAAATTTTAACTCTATAAGAGATACATCTATATATATAAAAGAAAGTCGTGTTAGTTACTTCGCTTATAACTCAAGAACGGCTGAACCGATTTAGCTGAAAATTGTCAGGGAGGTAGTATAGAGCCAGGAGAAGGACATAGGATACTTTTTATCCCGTTATTTATTGCCATTAAGGCGGAACAAAGTTCGCCGGGTCAGCTAGTTGTTGATAAAGTCCAGTCATTTAAGCTTNATGAAAAATCTAAACCGCTTAATTAAGTAGACCTTAAGTGATGCAGTGACCGCGCGCTCTCCGCCCTCTATCTCGAAAACGGTTCACCGTATAAAAAAAGTTTTTGAACAAAATTTGTAGAGAATTTAGTATTCTACAATATTGATAATAAGTACAAATAGCAAAAAACCCACAGGAAATGAGATATTTTTAAAAAAAGCGCAAAAAACCGATTTTTGTGACCGTTGACCTTGAAATTTAATAGTTGCTTACACCCTACCATATGTAGGTTTTGAGACAACTTTTAGGGTGTCAATATACACGTATTTACAGACTTACAGCTGGGTATCTCGAATTCCGAGGTGAACTTACTATAATGACTGGACTAATATAGGCACATCATGTTGATAATTCCATTGATTTTTACCTGTGAATAAAGTTGAAATTACAGTAAATTAAGAGCTTATAATTTTATTATAATACGTGAATATGATAAGTCTGTGTCGGCCGATACTATGCCGAATGCGATTTTAAGCTGACGGAATAAGGTTCAAATCACCTTTCTTGTCTTGTTGCTTCAAGCTCCATATCAGCTCATCAGCAGTGACCATGCCGAATGCGTCCCTGTGCTAAGGAAATACGATTCAAATCACCTTGAAGACCTGCTTCAGTAGCTCCTCTATGTCTGTATCAGCTGTGACCAAGCCAAATGCATCTTTATACGCAGGGAATAAAGTTCAAATCACCTTAAATACCTCGCTCCAGTAGTTACCCTAGATCCGTGTCAGTTGTCACTATACTAAATTCGTCCTTATACTTAAGTAGATACAGTTCAAATCACCTTTCTTGACGAGCTAGCTCATCTCGTGGCTGACCATCGCTACAAGCTCCAGTAGTTCCTCTATGTCCGTGTCAGCTTTAACCATGCTAAATGCGTCCTTAAGCTAAGGGAATACGATTCAAATCACCTTGAAGATCTCCAGTAGGTTCTCTGTTCGTATAAGCTGTTACCATGCCGAATGCGACTTCAAGCTAAAGAGATAAGGTTCAAATCACATTTTTTTGCTATCTCGCGTCTGGCCGTCGCTACTAAAATAATTGTATCATGTCGATGCGCTAGAAGCTCCACTAGTTCCTCTACATCCGTGTCATGCCGAAAGCGTCCTTATGCTAAGTAAATAAGGTTCAAATCACCTTTCTTGACGACCTCGCTCATGTCTGTGAGCACGCGCGACTTCTCCTCCACGTCGCGGCCGGCCGTCGCCACCAGCTCTAGTAGTTCCTCTATGTATATCAGCTGTCATGCCGAATGTGTCCTTATACTGAGGGAACAAGGTTCAAATCACCTTTCTTGACGAGCTAGCTCATCTCGTGGCTGACCATCGCCACCAGCTCTAGTAGTTCCTCTATGTATATCAGCTGTCATGCCGAATGTGTCCTTATACTGAGGGAACAAGGTTCAAATCACCTTTCTTGACGAGCTAGCTCATCTCGTGGCTGACCATCGCCACCAGCTCTAGTAGTTCCTCTATGTATATCAGCTGTCATGCCGAATGTGTCCTTATACTGAGGGAACAAGGTTCAAATCACCTTTCTTGACGAGCTAGCTCATCTCGTGGCTGACCATCGCCACCAGCTCTAGTAGTTCCTCTATGTATATCAGCTGTCATGCCGAATGTGTCCTTATACTGAGGGAACAAGGTTCAAATCACCTTTCTTGACGAGCTAGCTCATCTCGTGGCTGACCATCGCCACCAGCTCTAGTAGTTCCTCTATGTATATCAGCTGTCATGCCGAATGTGTCCTTATACTGAGGGAACAAGGTTCAAATCACCTTTCTTGACGAGCTAGCTCATCTCGTGGCTGACCATCGCCACCAGCTCTAGTAGTTCCTCTATGTATATCAGCTGTCATGCCAAATGCGTCCTTATTACTGAGGGAATAAGGTTCAAATCACCTTGAAGACCTCGCTCCAGTAGTTACTCTAGGTCAGTGACAGTTGTCACTATACTAAATTCGTCCTTATGCTAAGTAGATACAGTTTAAATCACCTTTCTTGACGATTTCGCTCATCTACCGCCGAGCCGTCGCCACTAGTTCTAACAGCTCCTCTATATCTGTGTCAGCTGTCATCATACTAAATGCGTCCTTATGCTAAGGGAATAAGGTTCAAATCACCTTTCTTGACGACTTCGCTCATGTCTGTGAGCACGCGCGATCTCTCTTCCACATCTCGCCCGGCCGTCGCCACCAGCTCTAGTAGTTCCTCTATGTCCGTATCAGCTGTCACCATGCCGAATCTGTAAAAGAAAAACATATTGTCATTTGTTTGTCAGTTGGCTTGTAATAAAGAAACATGGCCTTCAGACTTTATTATTTAGTATTTTTTAAGAGAAAACCTCTTTTTTTAATTAAATCTACTGATTCAAGTGGTAATTCAACCCACGACCTTAGTAATTTGTAAGAGCACAAGTTAGTAATAAATAGTTTGCGAGAATTTGGGAAATCTGTGTAATAATATCGGGAATTTTGTCAATACTCCTTTGAGATTCATCTCACCGGAAAGGAGTGGAGGCCGTGTACCGGAAAACGCAGCGTGTGACGTCTACCCACTAGGTGGACCGAAGACATCATAAAGGTAGCAGGAAGGCGCTGGATACAGGCCGCTATCAGCCGGGCAACATAGAAATCATTAAGGGGAGACACACGAGAAAGCTCCGTCTAACTCGCGTAGAATGTCAACCAACTGACCGTTCCCTAAACCGTTGTGGACGTAGCCTGGACACAATATTGGCAATATTCCAAGCAATATTGGCAATATTCATCTCACCTGACACGCCATGCCGTCTTCCCCGTCCTCACAAGAGAAGGCTCCGTCTGACTCGCGTAGAGTGTCAACCAACTGACCGTTCCCTAAACCGTTGTGGACGTAGCCTGGACACAATATTGGCAATATTCCAAGCAATATTGGCAATATTCATCTCACCTGACACACGCCATGCCGTCCTCTCCGTCTCCACAAGAGAAGGCGCCGTCTGACTCGCGTAGAGTGTCAACCAGCTGTCGTTTAAGGAAGTTGAGGTCCTAGTCTAGAGGCAATATTGGCAATATTCAGCTCACCTGACACACGCCATGCCATCTTCCGTTCTCACACGAGAAAGTCTCCGTCTGACTCCCGTAGAGTGTCAACCAACTGACCGTTCCCTAAACCGTTGAGGACGTAGCCTGGACACAATATTGGCAATATTCCAGGCAATATTGGCAATATTCATCTCACCTGACACACGCCATGCCGTCCTCCCCGTCTCCACAAGAGAAGGCTCCATCTGACTCGCGTAGAGTGTCAACCAGCTGTCGGTTGAGGGCATTGAGGTCATAGCCTGGAGGCAATATTGGCAATATTCCGAGCAATATTCAGCTCACCTGACACAAGCCATGCCGTCCTCCCCGTCCCCACAAGAGAAGGCTCCATCTGACTCGCGTAGAGTGTCAACCAACTGTCGGTTGAGGGCATTGAAGTCATAGCCTAGAGGCAATATTGGCAATATTCCCAGCAATATTGGCAATACTCCAAGCAATATTGGCAATATTCAGCTCACCTGACACAAGCCATGCCGTCTTCCCCGTCCCCACAAGAGAAGGCTCCATCTGACTCGCGTAGAGTGTCAACCAGCTGTCGTTTAAGGAAGTTGAGGTCCTAGTCTAGAGGCAATATTGGCAATATTCAGCTCACCTGACACACGCCATGCCATCTTCCGTTCCCACACGAGAAAGTCTCCGTCTGACTCCCGTAGAGTGTCAACCAACTGACCGTTCCCTAAACCGTTGAGGACGTAGCCTGGACACAATACTGACAATATTCCAATCAATATTGGCAATATTCATCTCACCTGACACACGCCATGCCATCTTTCGTTCCCACACGAGAAAGTCTCCGTCTGACTCCCGTAGAGTGTCAACCAACTGACCGTTCCCTAAACCGTTGAGGTCCTAGCCTGGACACAATACTGAGAATATTCCAAGCAATATTGGCAATATTCAGCTCACTGACGCACGCCATGCCGTCTTCCCCGTCCTCGCAAGAGAAGGCTCCGTCTGACTCCCGTAGAGTGTCAACCAACTGTCGAATCCCTAAACCGTTGAGGACGTAGCCTGGACACAATACTGACAATATTCCTAGCAATATTGGCAATATTCATCTCACCTGACACAAGCCATGCCGTCTTCTCCGTCCCCACAAGAGAAGGCTCCGTCTGACTCGCGTAGAGTGTCAACCAGCTGTCGGTTGAGGGCATTGAGGTCATAGCCTGGACACAATACTGACAATATTCCTAGCAATATTGGCAATATTCATCTCACCTGACACAAGCCATGCCGTCTTCTCCGTCCCCACAAGAGAAGGCTCCGTCTGACTCGCGTAGAGTGTCAACCAGCTGTCGGTTGAGGGCATTGAGGTCATCTGGCGACGCTTCCTCCCAGCCTGGAGGCACGAACCGGACTCCTCCTAGACCTGGTACGAGAATATGGACGGTATTGTCACTGAATAGAGTTCAAATTGATCTGACAATATGTGAATAGATATTTTTATTAATCCTATGTTGAATGCATAAAGTTAAAATTGATGCGGCTCTGTCTATTAAACAACGGCAGAGCTATGGCCATATAATTTTATCGACGCATCTTATTGATTCTAAACTTTTTAGTAAAAAAAACCACGATACAATTTCATCGTCTTTGATTTAACCTGCTTAAAGGTAAATATTTAATTTATTTATTGACAACTAAGGGTGGATTCGACCAAACAAGAGTAATAATATTTACTTAATACCTTAGAAGAAATCGTGAGTTTTGACGTATTTCCCATAATGAAACTGTCAATGTGCCAATTACTCGGATAAAAGTTTGGTCGAACCGGGCCTAAGAAGATAGCTAGATGAAAAAAGCCAATAAAAGACGAAGGTCAATATTTGTGTAATTTTTTTAGAAGAAACTACGTCCACAGATGAACTGTCATTAGCAAAAGGCCGCTACCAACCGGTCATTATAGAAACCATGTTGTAGGCCTATGTTCAGCAGTGGACGTCTATTTTTAAAATGATGATAGCTAAAATAATTAACCACTTACCAGCCCAGCCGGGTACATGCACCAACTTCAAGTACGGATGCTCGTTAACCCTTTGGTGGAAGGGGTCTCTGAGGGACACGGTCGCGTGTAACACGTGTAGTTGTGCTTCTAGCTCGCCGGCCCAGGCTTCAACTTTGTCTTCTTCAAGCAAAGAGCCTTCTAAAGGACAGTACCGGAGGACTATGCCGTGGGACTCTGTTTCGCAGACTTCTATGCTTAGCTGCGGAATAGAGATTAAAGTTCAATAAAATGTGACAACTAAATAAGTCTCGAGCACTGACTTCTATACACACTGGACAGGCTGTCTCATACAAATGACAGAATTTTGTGTGCCAATTTGAAGCGTCACTACTACCCGAGAACAAATTTTCACGTACATTATATGGAGTAACCAAAGGAGTAAGCAAGAAAGAAAATCACTTAGTTCCATGGACACTCGTATCTGCCTACAGCCACAGAATAATAATAAGTACTACGTACAGAAGTTTTACTTCGCGAAGGTATTTAAAAAAATGTATGCTCAATGTCATTAACAACATGGTGTAATTTAGCCTGTCTCAAGAGTCAAGCACCATTTTGTTGACAAACGTCAGTGATCGGCACTGCGCCGAAGCTATAGGGCTGACTTCGGTAAAATGATGTGACGTGAGGTGCCAAACTGCGGAAAATGGCGGAGGAAATACATGATTTAGCATGAATTATCATGAATAATATTAACTACTTATTTACCTCTCAGTATTTTGAGGCAACTTAAAAAAGTACATTTTGTGTTTTTATTATTATTTAGGCAGTTAAATACTGCACAGTATTTAGTACACCATTTTCTTTATTTTCTTCCATCATACACAAGAATACGCGTGCGTGAGTCAATGTTCGCTCGTATGTGAGGCCTTGTCGAATAGTATCCTGTAGGTGGGCTATCGTGCGTGTTTTGTTTTCGATGTAAACTCGCAGAGTTGAACAGGCCTGCTACAGCGCCAAAATGGTGAAAATCAAATAAGCACAAAAATATTATGACAGCAGCCAGTCCAGTGTGTACAGAAAGAGGTCAGTGGTCTCGAGTATGTAAAAGAAAAAGTGCGTCTATTAAGAATGACTTCCATGAAGAAACAAGGTGGACCGACGACCTCGTAAAGGTAGCAGGAAGACGCTGGACGCAGGCCGCTACTAACCGGCCATTATGAAAATCATTGAGGGAGGTAGTAGACGTCTAATGGCTGAAATGATGATGATGATATTATTAATATTGTTTTTAGTTTTTTTGGTTATGTTCGTATCACAAAAATATAGAGCAATTCACGAAAAAGAGCGATTTGCATAACTTTAATACAAGAAACAAAAATAAACTTGCCGTTCCAAATTTCAGACTGCATAAGATTGGGAATTCATTTATGGGGAAATGTATTAAATTATTTAATAAATTACCACAAACTGTTGTAGAACTACCCATTCATAAATTCAAAGCACATATTAAAAGTACCTTAATGAAAAAGGGCTACTATAAAGTCGATGATTATTTAAAAGATAAAAATGTTTGGGATGCGTAACTGCCTAGCTCGCATAAATATTTATAACTATGTATTTTGAAAACCTGTAAACCCTTGAAAAAGAGGCTGACAATAGTGTCTGAGTTTCTTGCGCTGCTTCTTCTCAGCACTGGCCCATTTATTGTCCTGAAGCAGTGGTAGGGTTAACACTGGCCCGTGTAAAAGTGTTTTAAGCCTACTTACAGAAATAAATGAGTTTTACTGAGTTTTTTATTAATGTTTTCATTATTTCTTCTTACCATCTCAGCCTCTCTCTGCAGCACTTGTCCAAGCCAGGAGTTGAGCTTGTCGTAGTACGGCGGCGGCTTCTCCACGTCTGGCGGCGCAAACTGGAAGGCTACACACGCGGACGCTTGGCTCACTGCTTCCTGGAATATGGTTGTTATTTAGTATTACGTAAGGTACAAAGTAAAGTAAGGCCAACGAGAAGAGATACCAAATGTAATCAAACCCAATGTCATCGTCATTTGGAATAGTAGGGGTGGGTTGCACCACCTATCTTTAACGGTAACTATGACGATAACCGGTGCTTTTTGTATGGAATTTCACAGATTTTTGACATTTGTCAAAGTTAAAGTAAGATGGTGTAAACCAGCCTAAGGGTTTGACTTTGACATACCGTACTTTAGATTGATGGATTTGCTCACTGTTTATTGTGGGAATGTGAATTCTATTTAGTATTACGTAAGCAACAAAGTAAATAGATAGGTAGATGAAGAATTTAGTTGTTTTTTTTTATGTGATAGGAGGCAAACGAGCAGACGGATCACCTGATGGTAAGTGATTACCGTCGCCCATAGACACCCGCAGACCCAGGGGCGTTACAGGTGCGTTGCCGGCCTTTAAGGTGAAGATAAGTTGTATTACAATAGGCACATTACAGGAACATGATTCGGTTTTTTCTTTTTTTCTCCTCCTTTGCTGAATCAGCGCACGGCAGTCACTAATTTACCAGAAGCAAATGGAGGATTTGTTCTACACTCCCCAGATGTGTTGGGAAGGGCTGATGTTCACTTATTTCAATACTCAATAAGATTATTGCTTCCATAATAGTAATATAGGTGTTACACAGTGCCGTATTATCCATAAGGCACTTTAGGCCAGTGCCTAGGGGCCCACTATGGCCAGGGGCCCACTATGACCATGGGCCCAGCACTCCCGATAAAAAAATGACAAAAAAAATGTTAAAGATTATTTTTATGCAACAAAACTCAAACCACCTCAAAACTTCGCCTTATTTTTGGTTTACACATTCAATCGTCATATTTCGATATTGTGGAACCTAATTAATTATCGTGACGTTGGTATTACTGCTTTGGTTTACATGACAGGTCGACGGTCGACGCCCTTCAGAGGCTAAAAAGCCTCACTGTGGAGGCTAGGGAGAGGGCTGAGGGTGTGTTGGCTGTATCATTCGATATAGCCAACGCTTTCAATACCATCCCTCATCCCACCATACTCTAGGCACTTGAACATCACAGAGTGCCTCAGTACCTTTGAGCGCTGCTGGCCGATTACTTACGGGACCGCGAAGTCCTGTATGTTAACAGAAACAGCCAGCTCAAACGGCGTAGCCAGCGGGGTTCCGCAAGGTTCGGTTCTCGGTCCACTCTTGTGGAACCTAGGCTTCAACTGGCTCCTCCGGGGCGTCCTTCTCGCGGGCATGAGTGTCACATGCTATGCGGATGACACTCTGGTCACTGCCCGAAGAAGACATTTGGGGCCGCGGATCGGCTGGCGTCGGCGGGCGGCACATTAGTCGCTCGCAGAATACGACGCCTCGGCCTGAAAGTCGCGCTGGAGTAGACTGAGGCCCTCTTCTTTCCGGGGCCAGCGCGACCCTCCCGACGCGTTGAGGACGTTAGGATTGACGTCAAAGGCCAAATGAAATATCTGGGCCTCACGCTTGATGGGAGGTGGCATTTTAGCCCGCACTTCAACGGGCTAGCGCCACGCCTCCTCAAGGCAGCCAGCGCACTGAGTTGGCTCCTCCCGAATTTGGGAGGGCCACAAACGAGGTGTCGTCGACTTTATGTCGGCGTTCTAAGGAGCATGGCGCTGTATGGCGCCCCAGTCTAGGTGGACGCACTCAACAAGAGGGAGAATGCTGCCCTTCTGCGCAGACCCCAGCGGGCCATAGCGCAGAGGGTCGCAAGGACCTACCGCACGGTAGGGCACGCTGCGGCGTGCGTCCTCACTGGTACTCCTCCTTGGGAGCTAGAAGCTGGGGTCTTGCCTGTCATCTATCACTGGATGGCAGACCAGAAGGCGCGTGGAAAGCGCCCGGCCCCGGAGCGGTGCGGCGCCGTCACGAAGACATGACTCGCGCGCAGTTTGGCCGCCATTGGTCCTGTTCTGGACGGTACGACCGCACGGGTTCCTCACGTTCCGGTAGGCGCAGGTGCTGACCGGGCATGGCTGCTTCGGTTCGTACCTGCATAGAATCGGGCGACAGGAATCCCCGTACGTGCCACAAATGCGGCGCGGCGGATGACACGGTGCAGCACACCCTCGCGGTCTGCACAGGATGTGAGGAGCAACGCCGTGTCCTCACTGCGGTCGTGGGCCGGGATCTTTCGCTTCCGAGCCTGGTCATCGCCATGCTGGGAAGTGAAGGATGCTGGAAGGCGGTCGTCTCCTTTTGCGAAGAGGTCATCGTTCAGAAGGAGGCAGCGGAGCGCGAGCGGGAGAACGATCCTCTCGCCCCATCGCTCCGCAGACGGAGAAGGGGCCGGAGAAGGCGGTTGTACGACCGTTCTACTCTGCCCCCAGGTGGCGGCTAGCAGGCCGGGGGTGTGGGGGCACCCTTGTCACCTTCGTCTGACGGGAACGGCTTGGCGTTTCGGGCATTCCCGTCGGACCCCCACAAGGGGGGCGTGTAGGGTCCGCCGTGTAGGCGAGCTATCGCTGTAGCGTGGTGTCGCGGAAGTCTAAGGCTACGGCCGAATACTCGCGACACCCCCACTCGGGCTACGGCGGAACGCCGCGGAGGTTTTAGTAGGTATACCCCGTCCTATTCCCTTATTAGGGCGCCGGCAGTCCCACACACCACCCTGTCCCCCGGCAGTGGTGACGGTACGCAAAGCATTTCCTCCGCGACAAAAAAAGGGGGGCCCAAAACGAGCTGTGCCTAAGGGCCCCGAGATGGTTAATCCGGCCCTGGTGTTACAATGTATTTGTACCTTAGTCGCCTGCAGAATTTTTTTATTGAATATCGCCCCGTTTCGATAATGTTTGATAGTAATCTAACGCGTACTTACGACTATGTCCACATTAGGAGGTTCATCGCCGCCTGGTCGATCGCTCTGTAACAAAATATAATAAATTAAATAATTAAAGCCAATGAGGGCTATCGTTTTTATACTTAACAGTTGGCACCCCTGGCGATTGACAGGACCTTACTCTACAGTGGCGCCATCTTGATGAGGGCAAATTCGATAGTCCTCCCACCACTTTAGCGCTCACCAGTCGGTGCCACTGTCTTCGCTACTAGCAAGTGACAGGACCTTACTCTACAGTGGCGCAAACTGGTGAGCGCTAAAACGATAGCCCTCATTGCAAACTTGGACTTACATAATAAGATTCCAGTCATTAAATAAAGTAATTAACTCTAGCTCTATTATTGAGTGCATTACCCAAAAAACTTAACTATAGCATCAACTGCGGCGTCAGACATCTATTATCAAGGGCAGAGCGCTACTTTTGCGACTTTTATGAGTGTTCTCATACAAGATACAAATCAAAAATGACTATCACTTACCAATAGCCTAAGTTGCTCCTACACCACCGTATATGCAGCGCGTGCAGATCTAAACCGCGGCGTTCAACCGGTGCGACTTTTACAAGCGTCTTCAAACATGATATTACCAATAGCCTGCTCCTGTGACACAGCCCTATCGAAACGCGGTGATAGATGATTTTAAGTGTATTCAAACAAGACAAAACTCAACGCGGCGTTCAACATTACTTACCAGCGGCCTAATTCACGTCCAACATTATTACCAAGGCCGCAAGGGCAGAGCGAGGATATCAAATGCTGCGACTTTTAGAAGCTCTAATTACAAACATAATAACTATGACTTACCAACAGCCTCAGCTGCGCCTGCGACACCAACGTATGCGCGGCGCGGGCGGATCTAAACGCGGCGTTCAAACGCTGCGTCAGACATCACTTACCAGGGACAGAGCGATACTAGACTTTCAAACGTTGCGACTGTAAGGTTTAGTTGCACCATCATATTTTAACTTTAACAAACGTCAAACTCCATACAAAAATGCCAGTTATGGTTATAGTTACTGTCGAGTAAGATGATGCAACTCAGCTTTAAGATTGAAGAGAAAAAATACTATCATATACCAATAGTCTAAGCTGCGCGTGCGACACAACTGTATGCGCGGATCTAAACGCGGCGTTCAAACGCTGCATCAAACATCCATTACCAAGGGCAGAACGATGTCAAATGTTGCGACTTTTAGGAGCGTGCTCTAAAGAATACAATAAACCTGCGACACCACCGTATGCGCGGCGCGAGCGGATCTAAACGCGGCGTTCAAACGCTGCGTGAGCCGGCACTTACCAAAGACAGAGTAATACTCTCCTTACAAACGCTGTGACGTATAGGAGCGTGCTTTAAAGAATATAGATGACCTAAACTGAACTGTCCCACCAAAGTCATTGACAGAGGGGCGCCACCATCGTTCACCTTTATAGTTTCCAACATAGCAAAAATCGGAACCAGCGATCCTGTACGGTGGCGCCCCGATGTCACGGATAGGACAGTTCAGTATATTGGGTCTATACAATAAACGTCACTTACCAATAGCCTCAGCTGCGCCTGCGACACCACCGTATGCGCGGCGCGGGCGGATCTAAACGCGGCGTTCAAACGCTGCGTGAGCCGGCGCGCGCCCGCCGCTCGGATGCACGTCCATAACGGCAGCGCCGGCAAACGCCCGCCGCCGCCTGACAGCCCTGCCAGGGCTGCTAGCGCGCCTTCCCTGCTACCCACCTGGGATAAGAAAATTGTAAAAAACTTGGACATACTATATACTGATAAACTGCGCATTCCATTCTAAAAACAAAAGCTGAGTTGCACCACATAACTTTTACGGTAACTATGACGACAACCGGTGCTTTTTGTATGGAGTTTGACAGATTTTTGACGTTTTTTTTTATGCTAGCCAAGGCAGGTATTTGACCGCAATCGCACCTGGTGTTAAGTGAGATGCAGTCTACGTTTGTCAAAGACAAAGTAAGATGGTGCAACCTAGCCTAAGCAGAGCGTGTACAGTCAGCGTTAAAAATTGCAACACGTCTTGTTACAATTGGAATGAGGTTCTAAAAGTTGACAACACGACCTTATTTCAATAGGCTAGATGACAAAATTTCAATTATTTGTCCGTCAGACAGATAATAATTAGAAAACATTAGACTCGTATTTTTACGATTATGAAAAAAAATAAAAAATATGTGTCCAAAATTGTATTATTATCTGTCTGACGGACTGAATAGAATTTCGATTTCATTACCCTATTTATTATATAGAAAAATTAGAATACAATAATAAATATCAAAAACGATTTAATAAAAAATAATATGTATAAAAAACTTACCGAACTAACAGCTTTTGAGTGATCGTTGGCAGTGATAGCTTCTGGTATTTTGTAAAATGTCTGTGTAAGATTTGTTAAAGAATATTATATGATATAACAACATCATTGTGCATTAAACAATCTTGCTTTAAAACATTTACATGCAAATATTCGGCTTTTTTGTGGTAACTATGTATTTTAAAACTTAACTGAACTTGAAATGAGTGACCTATTGATTGATATTATAAAGAAGCAATATTTGTTTATTTGTTTGTTTGTTTATTATAAAGGATACAACAGTAGGCAGTCCAGGTATTCCAAACCAAGGCCCTGGAGTTAGTGTGACGGAATCTGCTATGCTGAAACTCTGTGAAGAAAATCACGCAATTTCATTAGTCGCAGAAAATAGAACGTCCCAAAGGAGCTATGAAAAACTTGCTGGTATCATTTTCAATTCACAAAGATAACTATGTTCATGCACCCGAATGTTTGTACTGTGCGAGGATTTAACCATTAGTGATGACTGTCGCCATTGAAAATCTTCTTCCTGTCTATATTTGTAATTTATTCTTGTAGAAATTATTTAAATATTTGTACGCTGACTAATTATACAGCAAATTTTGGCGGTCTACTTATACTAGATTCTGCACAATTTTGGTTATACATAATGGTCTTACCATTATGTATAACCAAAATATTTGAATTTGAATTTTGTCGTGTCGACACTGTCGACAACAAGCCTACACAGTGTCAGCCCAAACCTCCGCTACAAGAGTAGCGTTGTCAGTAGCCTTCATTAAATCTTCCTTTGCAGTTGTTTGGGTACGCAAGGCACGACAATGAATAATCAACATAAAAAAGCATATTAAAAAGTACTTCCTTACCTGATCTCTTCCGCTAGCAGCGGGCAAAGCCAACGCATGGCCCCTCACATGCAAATGCAGGTTCCTCTTAGTGCAAATGGCCCCCAAAGTGGCGAGCGGTGACCCCCAGCCTAACGGGGGGGCACCCACCTCGCCCAGCACTAGTAGGGGCGTCTTGTTGGCCGTTACATCTTCGTCGCATAGGCGCTCTAGGGCTTCGATGTCCATGCCCTTGCCTGGATAATAAATTAGATTATTTAGACATAATGTTTGGTTTATAAGATCGGCAATGTTACGAAATTTATGAACTACCTAGGAATTTTATATGAGACGAGTTATCTTTAATCTTATTTTTATTCATCTTTTTACGTCATTTAGTCGTATGTAAGGAAGGTAACTAATGGCCGTTTTCACCACCAATCCCTAGTTTTTAAGTGACCCCTTGCAAACAAAATTCTTATTATGATGTGTCACCATAGGTCAAATCNCTACAATTGTCTCATAGTTGGTGTGCAGCTCAGCCATCTCTTTCTTTAAATGCTTGTTTTTATCCCACACATCCATCAGCTCCCTCTCATTGTCCTCTCTTTCCCTATTTAATTGCTCAATCAAGTCTTTGGCTGCCTTCAAATCTCTCAAAGCCAGTTGGAGTTGGGACTCCTCCCGGCGAGCGAAGGCTTTACGTGTAAGCATTGTTTCTTTTGGTAAATAAAAAAGTATTAAAATGTAAATGCCAAAGGATCAATTGATCAATAATTGGAGGTTAACAAAAATGTAAGTAAATATAACCTCTTACGCGGGTGACAGTATAAGGTCACAATAATAGTATTTCGTTTCTAAAATATGCACTACTGTTGTAAATATAAAACAAATAGGGGCCACATAAAAATTGATTGATTGGATTGATGGTGAAAATGGCCATTAGAAAATATATAATACAATCAGTTCTTGCTTGTACTGACTTTTAGAAAATGCTTTTAGACTGCCATTAGAAAATGGCCATTTTCACCATCAACCGCTTCTATTAAACTACATAGTAGCTACAATGTTTGTCTAATCATACATCCACATAAAATTAACAAGAAGCCATTGTTTTGTCGAACAGCCGAGTGGCGAGCGCGATAAACGAATGAGGTCAGAGCGAAAATGCGAATTTGTTCTAAATGTACAGTCACTGTTAAAAATGTAAGTCACTTATGGTGACTACCAACTACCACTTTTACCACTACCACTGCACTTACGATTGTGTGGCAATGAACAAGAAGTTTTGACTAACTAAATCATATGAAAATTATGGGACTAAAGGTTCGACCAAATCAACGCGTGCAGCTTGTGTGCACGATGGCGATCAGTAGAAATGAGTAGGATCGCCAACGCCATCGCGCACGCAGTTTGCACGCGTTGGTTTGGCTAAACTTTCAACAACTGCCTCAACATGAAAAATGCTGGCATTGCTGGCAACTATCTTTTACATTGCCACAAAAAAAGAATTGATCAGCCTATTTTTATAAACACCAGTCAAGGGCGCCTCGCACAAGGTATCCGACCTTTCGTAAATTGAACAGAAACAAATCACCATCTTGTATTCATTCAACCGACTGTACCTACTCACACAAATCAGCGTCATTGCCAGTGACGTGTTTAAGCTCGCACGCAATTTGTTTTAATCAAACTATTTAACTGTGGGTCCATTTTAAAAGTAATAACAATAAAACTGAAATTTTGAATGTTTTCAAATGAAGTTCAACGGCCTTTTAATTATACTAAATCAGTCATATTATTTGACAGAAATCGTTTAGATTATTTTGTGTAGATCTAGTATATTTTTAAAGACTGTAAACCCTTGAAAAAGAGGCTGACAATAGTGATTTGAGTTTCTTGCGCTGCTTCTCAGCACTGGCCCATTTATTGTCCCGAAGCAGTGGAAGGGTTGATACTGGGACGTGTCAAAGTGCTTTACAAAGGCCTACTTCAAAAATAAATGAGTTCTAGTGTATCATTGTAAATGTAATTTTGCTTACTAAGAATAACATTCACTAGTGAAATTCAACTTTGTTCTTAATGTAAGATGGTTCAGGAGCGCTGAACAGTTAAGTAACTTTTTTAAGGACATAAGACCAATTAGAAGAAGCGCTGGATGCAGGCTGCTACCAATCGATCAACGTGGAAAGCATTAGGGGAGGCCTATGTTCAGCAGTGGACGTCCTATGGCTGAAATGATGATGATGATGATGAAGACCAATTTATAGACAAGTTTTCTATCTACATACCATCAGCATTGACCGGCACAGGCCTGACGCAGGCCAGCGGCAGACCCAGCTGTCTGCAGAGGTGCTGCACTATGCCCAGTGGACTGGCCACACAGCTGTATATGCAGGGCAGCCGGTTTGTGAACGCCAGCGCTGAAATAAATAGTTTTTATTATTTGTCGGCCGTTTGGTGTAGTGGTTCGAAACTGACTACTATTCCGGAGGTAGCGGGTTCGATTCCCGCACAGGACAAACATTTGTGTGCATGAACATATTTGTTTGTATTGGACTGGGTGTTTTCTATGTATAATATGTATGTATTTACAAAAAAAAGTATTTAAGGCCGGGTAGCAGAGAAAATGGCGAAAATGAGGTTTTCATTTTTCATTTTTGAGGTACTAAACAGTAAAATTAAAGGCTAAGATTTTTATTGGGCATAGTTGAGGATATTTTCTAGGGCTATTAACGGATGGAAACACGATTTGATGAAGTTGACTCGATAGAATAAATTCCCAAAGTTACCTCTATTCGTTTTCTATTTATGGTTTTATTTTTAAAATAAGCGATTTGAGATTCTAAATCTTTTACTAAACTAAAGTTCAGAAATAACTTGAGGGCTTTTAACGGATGAAATTTTTATATTGCGTCTTATTTAGTTACTATGTTAAAAAATGTGGAAAAAATCGTCCATGACGGCTTGGACAATCTCAATCAGTCGCGCGGTGGCGCTTACGGAGGACGGACGCGTGTCAGTTTTTTGGCCGTGACAGTTCGCGATTTGTCAATATTTTTGACAATGATGACTTTGATGAGTCACAGTATAATAATATCAGTGTTACTGGAGAAAGCTTAAATTTTTGATTATTAAAAATTATCAATTTTGTCTACCTATTGAAATTTAAATCGTTCGCATCCTTTTAAACGAAGACTCTACTCATGATACATAGTACATTCCTCAAATATGAGACAAAACCAATGAGTTAAAATTACATTTTAATAGTACCTACATACAATCGTCTTACACTCTTTAGAAGAGCACACTGACACAAATAAATAATAAAAAATACTGTCTAAGGTCTGTAGCTAAAGGTCTAAGCTGTAAGATAGAAGAATCTTCTAGCCAAAAAGATGGCAGATGCAGCAGATGTCAACGGATTTAAAACTGGAGTTCATATGACTCCTTGTAGACTTGAGTCTCTAGAGCGTCCCTTCCTCCACCATGCGTAAAAGTTTTCCAAAAATACTGTCTGAGGTCTGTAATAAAAGTCTAAACTGCAAGATAGAAGAATCTTTTAGCCAAAAACATGGCAGATGCAGCATATATCAACGGATTTAAGACTGGACTGGCACCACCTTGCAATGTCATCCTCTCATTGTTATCTGTAATGTAAATTATTTTTAAAATGTATTTAAAAAATAAAATGTTTGTTTTATTATTTCAATAATCTGACCTCTCAACTCAACTACACTACACAAACACCTTTTTTCGCAACTGTACTGACGAAACCTCGATATTATACCGTTCATTTAAGATGGCAAGCTTTTTGCTGCGGTAATGCACTCCAGGTAACCGTGTGTGATGCTTATTGCTCATAGTGATTTTCGATACAGAGCCCCGCACATACGTTATACATAAACTTCCGGAAGGTCGGGTGACGCCACGCCTCTTTGAACCGTGTTCACTTTTTGGCAGTTATATTCTATGTTTATTCGATTCTAAAATATATTCCCAAAAATTTTGAAAGTTGTTTTAATTTGTATCACTTGGATATGATTTGTATTAGAAAGTGCTGTGAGTGTGACGCTTGAACGGAAGGAAGTCAACCTAACCTAACCAACTGCGTATTTCCAAACTGCGTATTTCTATACTGTGTAGCCGCGAGAGCTCTTTGGCGCGCTGTCTTCGGCGAAGTATTGCGCGCGCAGATTTTGACAGCGTGAAATACCTACTTTAGAAGAAATACCAAGCCTTAAGTATGTTTATATCCGTTGTCTAATACCCATAGTACAAGCTGGTTAGTTTGGGACTAGAAGCGCAGTGTAAAATGTCTAAGGATATATATTTTTTTTATTTTATGTGTTTTATTACTACTAAGGTATAGGTACTGCTTATTATAGTCAGAGGTTGTGTATGGATTGGGTAAAGTCTATTATTTGATTATATCATTTCTATGTGGTTATTGGAGTAGACAGCATACACACACATTATCTATACTTCTTACATATACTTATACTAATATTATAAAGCTGAAGAGTTTGTTTGTTCAAACGAATGCGCTAATCTCAACTACTAGTCAGATTTGAAAAATTCTTCCTGTGTTGTATAGCCCATTTATCAAGGAAGGCTTTTAAGTTATTTTACATCAACCTATATTCTATGTAGTCGGAGCAGTAAAGAAAAATGTTGAAAAAAACAAATCAATGATTCATTTTTCTAGTTTACATTATTATCCAATAGCATACCTCCGTCCTCCAAATAGCGAGGGTATCTGTGGTGCAGGAGCATTCGTGTGACTCGAACCAGGCCCTCCAAGTGCTCATGGTGATAGAACGCGTTGTAATCCGACAGTCTGTAATGCAAGTACAAAAAAAAATAATAATAATAAAATGTTTTATTTGACAAAAAGGGCGACATCACATTAAAATTGAACAAAAAACAAACAAAAAACATGATTAAAACTATTTTTTAAATACTGTTGAATGAGAAACCAAGTATGAATTACATAATATTGCTATTTAGTTAGCACAAAATGTAATTATGTACTAACAAAATCTGAAATGACTTGGTTCAGAGACCATTATAGTCTTGGCAAAGAGATGTTATTATGTTATTGTAAGTAAATAAAGAGAACATTTATTTGGCACCCAATGATACATGACATTATTTATACAAAACAATGCAATACTTGTTTTGGCTATAATAACAGTTAATTATTTACTTTAAATACAACAGAGACAATTTGCGCATTCACACATTTATGTTGTTAATAGTGTAACAAATCATCAACCAGATCAATCATTTTAAAAACTAATTTATGTCAACTATGATATAATATCACACATGTAAACATGTAAAAAATGCAGAATTATACTTTAAATGTCTTGGTTCAGTCACATTTGTAAATATTTACAGAAAACATGATGTGAAAACTTCAAAGGAATGGTAAACAGACAAAACACATATTATAGCAAACAAAATTTACGGTCCACATAATGAGCCTTACAACTATAGTAATAAAGGCCATACAATTAAATGTTTATCAGAGAATTCATCAATTATTGCTAGTAATTTAATGAAATTAATTTTATCATAGAAATGTGATGTGAACAGTGTTTTAGAAACATTCCAATACAATTTGCTATAGTTTTACAACAATTAGCTGTACCTAATAGTTACACTCATAAATAGTGAGTCCATAATCACTAATCTTATCCACTTAATTAAAACTCAAGGTAAACTGATAACGGACACCAATAAAAGTGAATGCACCACATCTATGGCTATAACAGCTACATACAACGTTTATTACCTGAACATGTGCGCCATCCAGCGAGTGGTCTCACTCGCTATGTGTGCGCCGAGCCTCGCTGCGTGAGACCGATCCAGCCTCCCAAACAACGCGGATATACTATGAGACAGAATCGTCGCTCTCGTCACAGCATCCGTAGGCAGCAACGGAGGCTCCATAGTCTCACAATTAGTGTCAGTCTTCAACACCAGATCCTCTAAAACCTTCAAAATCTCATCCATTGGCATTTCATCAGGCTCGAAGAACCCCGCACTGATTTTACGCGGTTCCGGCTTTTTTTCCTCTTCCGCCACATCTTGGGCGTTCACGCCGGCCTCGAGCCGGCCTACCACTTCTGAAACCTGAAATTCTAGCCCGCCAAACGGACGCCGGCCCTAAAATACAAGCGCAGAATTAGTATCGCAAAAGTACACATTATATCACTTGGAAACTTAGGTTTTTACCTCTTCAGGGGAAGCCTCGCTTTTCGGGCTTTGTTTGTTGGACTCGGAATCTGAAGCTGGTGTATCTCCCATGCTGCGTGGCGAATTTATTGCAATTTTATTACACCAACATGAAAATCTGTAAACGTCACTTTTTCAATGTTTTGACGTGGGTGGCTGAAGGAATGAAACGAGAGAGAAGGGAAGCTCCGAATGAAGGGAATTATTGCTTCCAAAGATAATGTAAAGTAATGTAGCCGTCGTCACAATCAACAAAAATATGTCAACATTCAACAAAATTGCCTACAAAAAATGTTGAATGTTAACTTTTATCGATTGTAGAGTAACGGCCGAATACTGAAACACTACTCAAATCTGTCACTCAGCTGACGGGCTCCTAAATTTAAGTATCCTTCAATTTTAAATGGTATTCTCAAACGTTACTCAACGGATTTGAAGCCGTGATCAGCTAAGCAGCTCTCAAATGTTTACATAATGGCAACATTTACCAAAAAAAGTATGTTTTCATTTACACAAATGATAACTTTACGTCTTTTATCCATTACACGCAGCATCGTTTGGTTATGTATTGTCTTTTATGGAAATATACTCAATCAACTTAACATAGAACAGTTTATTTTTAGTTTCTATTATATATAAATCTCGTTTTATCATATAAAAAAATTAATGCTTGCATTTTTATTTAATTAAAAAAATAATTTTAAATGTGATACTTTTTATTGTTGAAATCTATTAAGTGGCGATCGTGGACCGAAACGTAACCACAATTGACATTTATCATTGTTGACTGACAGAGCATCAAATTGACAAATCAACAACTCTTGGAAATGCTGCTATGCGATGTCCCCTTAATCCTCAGAAATAGGCATGTTTATGTAAAGCGATTTCATAGCAGCTATTTTGGTTGTTACTTCGTGCACTATACGATGCACAGTTGGCTGTTAGATGTGGAAGATATCACCTAGTACACGTTCATAACTTCCCGTTGCGTAGAACAGTAGGGTTATAATAAGTATTTGGTCCACTGGTTGTATGGCATTTGGTGAGGGGTTTCAAAGAGCTTCCAAATTATGAATCCAGAAACAACACCGTTTCTTTAGAGACGCGGAACCTCGCTCGGAATTGCATGTCATTATAATAATATTTTTCAATAGCGTTCAGCCTTATTGCGTTCCTGCGATTAGATCTAGGTATTTCCTCGAGGCTCGAAAGAAATGATAACGATGACACACATTATTTACCACTATTTAGGTCGATTTAGGTATAAGAATAGGATTTAAGATACCGCGCAAGCACTCTCAAATTTAACAGCTGCTTATGACGATTTGACAGTTGTTTGAGTAATGCTTAGCGTTGAATGGCGTTTCAGTATGCGAAAATTCATTTATGTGGCGTTTGAGTGCAACTTAATTTGAGAGGTGCTTAAAAATTGAGAACTGCTCAGATATTGTTTTGAGTATGCGAAATGTAAGTTTAGGAGCTGCTTAACTATTTGAGAAGCCGTCAAATATTTAAATGGCGTTTCAGTATTCGGCCGTAAAACACGCATTAGAGACCCGACTTTTAATTGTTATAGAGTTTTTTTGTGTATGCTCCGAGATTGGTTCGTTTGTAACCATCAACAAACCCTATCAAAACGCTCTCTGCTGGAATATCCGAATGCAATAATCCATAGACTAGAGAAAGACGACTTTCAGTGACATTGACAGCTTAGCAAGTGGCATCAATCCGTCATTTTCAGTCGATCGAAGATCGGTCACTGAAACCGAAATAAAACATTCTTAGCGAAAATGTCGTTAGTGAAAATATTTTCCCTTTCCACTCGAGGTATTTTCTTCATTTATGTTGTATTTACTGTTTCTAGTGATATCATTGATTAGGAACCGCAAAATCATTGTTACGCAACCCGTTGTTTATAACCTAAACTGCGTATTTACCAGCTGATTTCGTATTTGATATGAGATTATGAATAAAATATTGTATAATCTCCAATTCCTACTATATATTAACGTCTAATAAACTGTTCAAATTCTTTTAAATGAGCAATGAGTTGCTACTTTCTATGATTGTCAAAACCTATCTCATAACTCCAAAATTGTTTTAGCTCGTGTAGCTTGCACTAGCAACATACTGGCCCGCCATGCCAGCTCAGGAGAGGGCCGTGTAGAGAAGGTATACCCACAAGAACTGCCGGGCTACAAATACGTGAATGCCGAGGATCCCAACATGAATTTCAAAGAGATGACTGACAGAGCTGCCCAGACTATGTTTTGGACTGAGCTGGTCAGAGGGTTTGCTGTAACTCTAGCTCACATATTCAAGGTAAAGTTTGTTTATAAGTTTCAACCAAGACCTTTATAACTCTGGACAATAAATCAAAATCTGTACCACATAGGTTTTAGGTAATTCTTATTTAGACTGGTCAGTGCATAATAAATGAATAATACAAGACAAGATCATAACACTGGTCCTAAAGAACAATTTGGCATTGTTTTTATTTTATTCTTGTAAGAGGTCAGACATCCAAGGGAATCTTGCTATGGAGCTAATACACAGTGATAAAAGATTCTGTTTTTCTTATTAATTACTATCACATTGCTACTCAGAAAATGATTTCATGAGGGTACCTACTCAGATTACTTATTAAACTTAAGTTAATTTCCTTTTCAGGAACCAGCAACAATCAACTACCCGTTTGAGAAGGGACCCCTGTCACCCCGGTTCCGTGGCGAGCATGCCCTCCGTCGGTACCCCTCTGGGGAGGAGAGGTGCATTGCTTGCAAACTCTGTGAAGCTATTTGCCCTGCTCAGGTAAGATTGTCAGTTTTTCGCTTGTTTCAGCCGAAAGACGTCCACTGCTGGACAAAAGCCTCCTCCAAGGATTTCCACAAAGACCAGTCCTGCGCCGCTCGCATCCAGGCACCTCCCGCGACCTTCACCAGATCGTCGGTCCACCTAGTGACTAGGTCCTAGTGGGACCTAGTGTCAGTTTTTAAAGGTTTTTAATCAGCCAAACTGGGGATAATTCTTACAAGTTTATTTACTGTCTTACAAAACTTATTCAGTAGTTTGTTACTGTATTGGATAATAAGAATCCCTCAGCTAAGAGCAATTATGGGATCTCCATGTTCAATGTTTCTTCAGAGTTCTTTTGTTTTATTGTAATTTGTCCATTCTAGGCTATCACAATCGAAGCTGAAGAGAGAAAAGATGGCTCACGACGAACAACGCGCTACGACATTGACATGACTAAGTGCATCTACTGTGGATTCTGTCAGGTAAATTATAGTCATAATAATTACCATTACATAATATTAAAATAGATTATTTATTTCTTAGTCAAAGGATATGTAAATAATCTTGGTTTATCAGTCTATAATTAAAAGAGGTTGACTGTAGTTTCAGAATGTTTGGGGGCGTCCATTAATTACGTGAGACTTTTAGGGGAGGGAGGGGGTCCAGAAAAACCTCACTTAATCTCACGTGGGGGAGAGGGGGGTGTCGAGAAATATCACGTATTTTTTTACACAACAAATCGAGTAAATCCTCCGTCTGCATTTGGGAACACAGGCCCAATTTTTAGATCCGCAGTTTGCTGCTAAATAACTTAAATATTAACAAAATGTAAACTAATAGTTAAAAATTGTACTAAAAGTAAAAAACTGGGCCTAAATTGTTTTGTTTTATTATTTCAGTTATTTTTTTTACGCAGGTCGGTTTTTTTTTAGAAAATCTAATATTTTCGAAGCATGGATTGTCTCATTTACGTTGCAAATAGGCATTTTGGAAAATCTCACGTGGGATTAGGGGGTGGGGGAGGGGGGTCTGGCAAAATCTCATGAAATCNTTGTACTAAAAGTAAAAAACTGGGCCTAAATTGTTTTGTTTTATTATTTCAGTTATTTTTTTTACGCAGGTCGGTTTTTTTTTAGAAAATCTAATATTTTCGAAGCATGGATTGTCTCATTTACGTTGCAAATAGGCATTTTGGAAAATCTCACGTGAGATTAGGGGGTGGGGGAGGGGGTCTGGCAAAATCTCATGAAATCTCACCAAGGGGGGCGGGGGGGTTTAAAAATAGCCAAAATTGGCTCACGTAATTAATGGACGCCCCCTTTCTTCTCAGCTTTGCCCATTACTGAACTAATAAAAAGCAAACTTATTAGGAAGTAATTAATTTTCTTTTGAGTTCTGCAACATGGCAATTTGTGTTTTATTCATCTTAATTCTTGTCTTGCCAGCAGAAAGAATTCCTATGATTTCTCCTTTCATCTGGTAGTAAGTAATTAAATATAATTCTTCTCTTTCCATTGTAGGAGGCTTGCCCTGTCGACGCGATTGTCGAAGGACCCAACTTTGAGTTCTCCACCGAGACCCACGAAGAACTCCTATACAACAAGGAGAAACTCCTGTCCAACGGTGACAAGTGGGAAAGTGAAATCGCTACCAACATCAGAGCAGACCATCTTTACCGCTAAATCCTCTTCAATTTTAGTGTAATATGTAACATTTTGAGACCTATTTTGGGGACAGAAATTTATGCAATCAATGTAAATAATACTAAGCTGTCTGGATACAGTCACTAACAAGGAAATCATGTTCACAAAATAGATCTCGAAATTAGGAATAAATAAATTATTATCATTTGTGATAAAATATATAAATACCATCTCAGTTAGTAGTAGTTTTAGTTGATCTGTAATAAAATCCTGTAAATGATCATAAAAATTGCTTTATTATTAATTTGAAATATAAATGAGGTAGTACATAATTTGAAATAATTTCTAAATAATGACAAATTAATAAATCAAGTAATGCTAAGAAATTTGATTAATTAATAAGTTTAGGTTGAAATGCATAGATCATGATCAAAGAAAAATTAACATATCAAATAATTAATTATTTCTTTATAAATACTTGAACAATACATTTAATCAGTCTTCAATACATACACAAGTCATAAAAGTACTAACATAGATAAATATCTTTTCAATAAAATATTACTATAGCCAGGATTCCAGCTGGATATATCACTGATAAAACTTGAGTGCATCTGCTGGGCTTTGTCTGTTTGTCTACACTTTTTATTTGATTGTTGATTACATACAATAGACGTCATATTCCGCAATGTGCGACGTTGCCTTAATTTATGTAAAGTAGTTTATTACGTCCAATAATGGAAACAAGTTATTCGTCGTTTGTTACGTCACAATCTCTAAAAATAATAAGCAGCAGATTCACTACGTCTAAAAGGCAACAATAAATATCACCATCAACTTAATTATATGGGATACAAATACATAAGTCTTTTAGGAGACTTCATCTGAGTGGCGGAAGCAGTATTTAGTCATTAACGCCATAGAATAGTTCAAATTACATGATTAACAGAATGTAAGGGATAAGTTGGCAATAACTTTAAATTAAATTTATGGTGCCCCTCACAAAAATAAAATAGAATAATTTTGTAGAATATTCCAAAATAGTAATGGTAATTTGCACCTAATATAAAATTGAAACCTCACCTAATTAATGTAGTTTTTTAAATCTCAGAATTTATGCCAATTTGTCCTTTACACCCTGTATGCAATAATCAAGCTGTTAAATACTATCATTGGTTTCACATAAGATCAGATAAACAGTCTAATAATTTATTTAAAATTGAGCTGCATTAGTTGGTATGGTTTCCTCCGAGTATTTTGTAGCTGTATCTCTCTAAGTCTTCCATCACACAGTCTATGCTTCGGTCGGCATCTATGGTCAGCACTTCACAGCCAATGTCTGGAGAACTCAGCCAACTTTCGTATGCATCATGGACCTATGTAAAGATATTTTAATTAAATAATAATAATTATTTGTTTATTTACAATTTTATTGCATACAGTATCAGACTGTAAAAGGCGAACTTATGTCATGGCATTTTCTTGTAGTCATCATTTGGGCAACTTGGCACTTGGCAGAAATTACGAGTTGTCGATATGAGTGTCAGGCATTTATTTTATGTTAACTAAAATTAGGCTCTAAGCACGTTACCGTCGCCTTAGGACTTAGAGTGAAAACTTCGGAAATGCATTTTTTCTCATATTTATATCAATCTTATAGAATATAACAGTTTTTGAATTTAGATATACGATCGATGATCAATTGTATTCATTGTCCATCCATGAACAACTTTACACAATCGCACCTCTGGATTATGAGCCTGGAGAAATAACACTTGTTTTACACTTAAGATGTTTTCACTCTAAGGCTTTGATACATGTTTAAACCACAGCTTTGTCCATACTCCATATAATTTTGAGAAGCATATTTACTAAAAAGGAAATAAATAAATAGAAAGGTAGCAAACCTGTTGTAAGTAATCCAAGGGTACTTCCGATTCCTCTGCTCTGCCTCGTCTCATCATTCTCTCCCAGACCACTTGTGGTGAACTCTTCAGATACACTGGAAAATGGTAAGCATAAACTTAGTAAATTTTAAGGAAATACTATGATGGAATAGAACTGTTAAGTATCTTACTTTAACAGACATCAAGTCTCTGTCAAACTCCATAAAAAACACTGGTTGTGATTATAGTTACTATTAAGGTTCGGTTAAACCAACGCGATCAGCCGGCGTGCAGCGATGGCGATCAATGCATTTTAGTCTGGACGCCATCACTGCACGCCGACTGATCGCGTTGGTTTGAACCTTTAAGATGGTGTGACTCAGCCTTAAATGCTTTGGACTTGACTTGAGCAATGTCTTGGGGCAATAATGGGAATAGATTTCTTGTTAACCAACTTCTAAAAAAAAGGTCAAATCATCAACACTTATGGAAGTCTTTTTAAATTAGTTACCTATCAGATCCAAGCTAATATCCAGATTCTTCTCTACATATGTGTACCACTCGTTTAGAACCTGGAATTCCGCATCATGGAGAACGTCGTGCCTTCTTGCATTCTCGACGAAACAAAACCTGCTATTCTGAACAGATCTGAAATGTTGGAATTAAAATGTTATTAGATACAGTCAAATTAGCAGCCTGGAGGGAAACCTATCAGACTCAGTATTGAGATGGTAAATAGTTAAGAATGTCATCTACAGTTATAAAGTGAACTTCTATGGTCCAATATGATGTCAATAAAAATAATTTGTAGAACATTAAACATATTATGATGATGAGTTTGATAACGAGTCTACTTTTTGTATAAAATTTCATTATTTCAGGGAGAAACATCACTAAAGTCTATAAAATGCAATCAAAAGTATTATTTTACCTTTCGAACATCTTGACGGTAATATTAGGGCTGGCCGGGGGGCTGGTCTGGATCTTGAGCCTGGAGAGATGGACATAGTGTTGGAACGGGAAGGTCCACTTCTGCAGATCGCTGTACACGAGGCCCAGTAAGTTGTGGCCGCTGACGTCGCGCCACTCGTTCAGAGGTTCCTGAAATTCAGTTATTTTGCTACTGAATAATAGGAAGAATATATTCATAAATATTTCGAAAGGTCAATTTGTTACAAAACATTATTGCTCAAAGTAGAATGAGAAGAAAAACAATATGAATAAGAGGAAAGTGGTGACCTAGGCCTTAATTTTCTGTAAAAATAGCAGGGTTCGAAAATATCCGATATTTATTATAAATATCAAAATATCGGATATTTATGATATACATCCGATATATATCAACTTTGATATATATCAATTTTGTATGAAAGCCATAGTATTATTTTATTGTATTATTCATGAATACTATTGCATATGTGTTACATAAACATGTTTTTAATGTTTTTAAAACTTAAAATCAGACAAATAAAGCAAAAACATAAAATATCTTTGAAATAAGGCAAAATCAACTAAAAAAATAAAAATCTTATGTCAAAAAGTACAAATGGGTGTTTCTCTGCTATTTGGAAAATCGTCCATACAAGACTGTCCTGAAGTAATTTTATTAATTGTTGAGAAATTTTGCTAATGAAATTCAGGGCAATAGTAATTTAAATACATATCTAAAAAAGCCCACACATTTTCCCCTTAGTTTTTGAGTTATTAGCGATTTTTCGCAAAACTACGACAGGGGACTGTTGCAACCACCCAGGGGAATGTTTTATGGACAAAAACAATTAGTATTTTTCTTTAAGTAAACAAACTCTTTATTTTTCTTTGCCATTATAAAAATATGTAAGTTTTTGAAACAAATAATAGTATTATTAAAACAAATATTACTAATTTATAATGACTTTTCTTAAGCCTAATAACAGTAGCATTGAACTTAACGAACAATTAAGTTTTAAGACTTAAATTGTATGACACTAAAGTCAGTCTTTATAATAATCAAAAATGTAGTATCCTGCCTTTTAAAACAGTGCCAAAAAAATACAAAAAGTAATAAACAAAAAACATTATTACTGCTAATGTTTGTTTTTTGACCCCGTTTCTGGTGAATGCAATATTGAAACGCTATTCTTGTTATTTCGTGTTGGGTCAGATGATCTTAAAGGCGCCTGATGTTCTTCTGCGAAATCTTCTGAATCAGATGTAGCTATTTTCTCTTCCGAAATTATATGTTCATTATCATCATCATCATTTCAGCCATAGGACGTCCACTGCTGAACATAGGCCTCCCTCAAAGACTTCCATGTTGATCGATTCGTAGCGGCCTGCGTCCAGCGCCTTCCTACTACCTTTATAATGTCCTTCCTACCACCTTAAAACGCAGCGTGGGACGTCCACGCGGCCTCCACTACAGAACCTTGCTGCCGATGGGCCATCAGTTCTGCGTACTATGTGCCTTCCTATTGCCACTTCAGCTTGCTAATCCGTCGGGCTATGTGACCGACTTTAGTTCGTTTACGGATCTCCTAATTTCTGATTCGATCTCGTAAAGAAACACAAATTATTTGTTATGTCTTCATGACTTTCTTTTTTGCACGAAACTTAGCACAGTGCTCCCTCTAAACCTTTTTTACAGTCTTATGCTCACGACAACTCATATCTTTAACTGATTTTAATTAAAGTTTTTCTTTTTTCTTCTTTTTTTAAATTTTTCTTTTAGGGTAATGTTTCAAGTCGATGATATCATAATTGCACAGCTTTACGTTTTTGTTCCAGAAATTCTTCTCATGTTTCGCGTAGCTTCTTTTTCGGTGAAATTTTGAGATAATACCTACTAAAACGACGTTATTTTAGTGGTCAAAACCTAGGAAAACAGTAGTATGAACAGTCCCCTGTGGTATGAACAGTACCCTGTGCTATGAAATGACAGGGGAATGTTCGCCAGGGGAATGTTATTTTTACGTGAATACTTCATAAAACAATATCATTTAAAAACATTAAAATAAACGCAACTTATGTGGCTACATACTAGAAGATTAATTAATTTAAACAAATTGTCGTTATTAAAACTCTTAAAATAGTAAAAAAAAGGCTCACCAGGGGAATGTTTTCACTGACGGCCGAGACGCGTGGTTCACCAGATGACGCAGTAGTAGCATTAAACAAAATAGCGGCTGCCCACTAGCTACACAACTGAACAACCTTAACACCTATTGCGTTCCGTTTCGCGATCTAAGTGCTTTGCGCCAAAACTAAATATGACTTTAAACCGGTTTTAAAATTTTAACAGGGGAATGTTTTAATAATTTGAGGACAGCATTCTCAGAAGGATATTTTGATTAAAATTATATTGTAAACATTGTTTGTGATGTATTAAGATGCTAACTGTTATTGTTAATGTATTTGGATATTTTTTATTCAAATATCAACAGCAATATAATAAACATTTATAACAATATGTGTAATTCTGGAAAAGGGACGTACCAGGGGACTGTGATTTGAGACGTTTGAGGTTATTTATTCGAATATTCCATGATTAAAATACTAAATATGCTATGTCATGCTAAGAATACCTAATTCTATGTCGGTATTGATACAAAAACCTGAGAAATTTTAAGGTTTACTACATAAATTTAGCTTGGGACAGCGATTTTCCATTTAGTGGAGAAATGCCCAAATACAGTAACAAATTTTAAAAGTTGATATATATCATCAAAACCGGCTTGATATATATCGAATATATATCCGATATATATCTTGATATATATCCCTTGATATATATCCTCGAACCCTGAAAAATAGATGTCAACTGAGGGTATTAGACAAATTGACAATTAAATTATGCAACAGGTTATTAAGGTCTAATGCTAGATTCGGTGCCAGCATTCGTTTGTAATTATCAATGTTATTTAGCTAACCTTTCTAGCAAGTCCTAGTACAAGTCATTCAAAAACATGTACCTATGTTAGAAGAGTTAAGTTCTGTGATGCGTAGAAAGGTCAGGTGTCTCAATAAACCAGAAAATCTATATATAAAAGGGAAATAATGCCGAAATTCAGTTACTTACCGCATGTTTTTCAACGTTGGGATACTTGTCGAAAAACTTGATGCACGTCGACTTTCCCGAGCCTATATTGCCTTCTATAGATACTCTGAACGGTCTTTTAGCCAGGACACGGGCTGCATTCGTCATACTCCTCATATTAGACATTTTTGCTGACTTGAAAAAATAACCCAAGGCGAAATTCACTAACAGGTGATCACAATCACTGAATTTGATTCTTACAGATAAACTTATTGTGAAAATATTTTTTTGATTATTTTTAACACATTTTTGACCTCGTTGTTTTAAAAATTGAAATTATTTATCGAAAAGAAAATATCTTTTGAGGTGAAATTGCGCGAATAATTACCGCCAAAAATATAGTTACGTCAACAATGCCGTCAATGTCAGTCAATTGTCACTGTCACTACTGTCAAAACTTTTTTTTTAAATTGATCAATGGAGTTGATCATTAGGTCTTTAGACCTACAAATAAATAATTATTTTTTGAAAAACTGGACCGCATGTTTTTGTGTGCCGAGTCCGGTTTGGAGGAATGCTCGCCACGATGATAAAATAATCGTTTAATTATCAACGCAAGTAGATAGAACATCCAACCATTCTCATTATCATCATTGCAGTTGTCACTGCCGGATTATGTGTCTCTCTAGGTCTTTCTAATTTACCAGAGGCAAATGAATTTGGTTTAAAAATAATATTGTGTACCAAAAACAATAATATTATAATTTATTAAAATATTTTGCAATTACTATGATTCGCGAGTAAATGAATTTGCCGTTTAAGTTCAGAAAGGCGTTTGCGCCTGAAAGCCCTCCTCGACGGACACTCTGGCTAAACGGATTGAGAAAGCCTGATAAGGCCTGATTATGATGTTCGCATATTTAATTTTGTCCGTTGTACCTTTTACGACATAAATTCTACTCTGCAGGAACCAAAATGCTAATTAAAAGAAAATAATTATCATTAAGTAACTAGTTAAGTAAGGTGATCCGGGCAAAATTGTACGCGACGACGTCCAATAAAATTCTCATGGGCATTTGCCTCATCCTGCCTAACTAGGCAAGCCAGGCTCTATGAAGAATATTCCAAGCTCCTTAACACTACCGGCCTCTAATCCATAACTGTGCAACCGGCTTTCAGAAATAACCGGCAGTTTCACGCGGTTAGTGATGCGCCGTATAAATGACAACTGTCGGCGGGACTCGAACACCAATTACCGGGACACGGCAATCCGGAATCACGCTTCAATTTAAATGAACCTGCCAGTCCCAACCAATGACGTGCCGTCTGCCTTAATGAATCTTATTTATTTCAGCTATGGCGGATATTTGCGCGGGGTCTTTTAATCTCAGTGATGTTCGTGGATTTTTGAACAACTTTAAGTAGTTTAGACATGACTGTAAAGAATACTTAGAGGATCCATTCGATACGCATCTGCTTTAGACAAAACATTGTGACGAATTCAATTTTGTGACTGTTTCGCTTTAATATACTTATTTAATAAAATTAGATTCGAGATCACTTCACTTCACTACATTTCAAAGAATCGGTTACTTAGTATGCACGAGTGTGCATTATCAGAAGATGTGTTATGGTGTAGGAGGAGGTACTTATTATTATTCTGTGGTGTAGGTAAGTAAGTACGTACTTTTGAATTTTTATTTTATTTTTTATTGGAATCTTATTGCAATTTAAAGCTACAATATACACTACGCTATTCTAAAACTCCACGAGTAGGTAAATAATCATCATAATTGGCCTCGGAGTTAAAAGTAAGATTGAATAAATAGGTAAACGTAACGTTACATATAACGCTGACATAGCCCAACGGATTAACAAACTGAAGTGGCAATGGGCAGGACATATAGTACGCAGAACTGACGGCCGATGGGGCAGCAAGGTTCTGGAATGGAAGTTACGTACCGGAAAGCGCAGCGTAGGACCTCCACCCACAAGGTGAACCGACCTCCACCCACAAGGTGGACCCACGACACGGTTGTGTGGTCTGTGACCCACGACCTCATAAAGGTAACAGGAAAGCGCAAGCAGGATGCAAGCCACCACCAACCGGCCATTGTAAAAATCATTGGGCCTCCCCCAATGTTTAGCAATGGACGTCCTATTGCTGATATAATGATGATGAATAAATAGGTACTATAGTCTAAGCTTTACCTACATAATTTGCGGGAAAACCAAAATTTCAGAAACACATTTAATCCCGACGTCGTCACTTCCTCCACATGGCTATATTATTATTACATAATATGGATGGACGCCTGGCCTCGCTACTCTACTATTCAGCCTTTTTATTTTACACGCCACAATGCAATTTCCATATTAATATTTTCCTCGTTCCCTCATTAAATAATGGAATAATGAGTGCATTGTATTTGTCATTGCCGCGGCAGCTTCCGAAGCCCGCAGGTTGCTATTGTCTGGAGTTTGCCTCGTAGGGAGAGCTAACTTTGCGGGGTTCTGCCGGCAACGTGAATAATCCCATGTCTAGTTCGCGTCACTACTGCAACTCCTGCACCTATAGCCAAGATCTAGTTAAATCAATCCAAGTTCCATTACATCGACTCCAAACTCCTGTACCTACACACACAGAGACAGTCTACAGATTGGCTGCCAATTAAACCCAAGTAGTGAAAGTTGACGTGAGTATATCGCGAAGCTTCCCGAACGCTGCCCAGCCGAGTTAGATTCGACGATTTACCTCTTTCTCGAAGTTGGCCCTACCTAACTGGACTGTTTGTCCCAGGTATACCTACATAATTGTCAACAACTTCGAGTGTAGTCTCCAACCTTCGAATATTTAATTCAATTTCTCGTTCCTGCTACTGCAACTTCTTTGTAACTAGGATAGGATCTACTTACAGAAGGATGATTAATTCCGCAGAATCTTGGGATAAAGGAAGAGTTCGTACCTATAGTATCGACTTAACTTTTCCTTGCCTCCTGGGTTCTTTGCTCAGTTAGACGTTAGTAATAGCTTGGACTTCGGATAGACTCTCCTCAAAGAATTTTATATTGCTTGACCACGTCGCTATCATCGTAATTGTTAAGTAATTGAATTTCAATGGTCAAATCATAACTTGTATAATCGCAACAGTTTTTCAGAAGGCTATTCCTGTAAAGTCAGGATCTACTAATTATTATTATAACTTTGGACTGTTTAAGCTGTTTTATTGCCTTTATTTGAGGGTCTTGTTTGTATCGCTGATTTAGTTAAGTCTTCGTTAAAATATAAAATATCTCCGCACAAAGATACCGCGTGCCAGACATCCACAGCGAATATTGTTTAATTAAAAACATCGCAGACGGAACACTCCTAACAAAAGCTCCCTTTTCATAAAAACCTTGGAAATAGTATTCTGGTACAAAGCCCGCGGCAATGTTTTCGGATGAATGGCCGTTGACACCGCATTGTGCGAAAGAGACAATGCGAGTGAATGATTGTCGTACTCGCGTTTGTGTTGTTCCAATTAGTAGTTGGTGTTTTCGCATATTTGCCGGTTTTAGTGCGAAATACGAATCGCGGATATAACTGGATATTTGGGACGTAACAACGTAACGTTTACCTACCATTGTTTTGATGGAAACAAAGGAATGGTGCTTTGTGCGAGTATTATTGCGAGCATTGAGAGAAGAATAAGCTTTTGTGACTTATTTTGATTATACGGCGCCTAAAAAGAAAGACAAATGTGCTTAAGCACGAACGTAGGGAAAGTCCTGAAAATTTTCAAATTAGAGGTCAAAATCTGAGTTTTAGTGACATTACGTTACTCCGCGACACCATTTAATTGAATTGACTAAGGTGAAAGGGTACTACAAGGTTCGAGACTATATTGATGACAAGGATGCGTGGTCAGTTCAGTCTGCACATATTTGATGTACTCGAATTTGGTTATTCTTACCGTTAGATAATTTCTGGCAATTAGTGGTGACTGAGTTTGTTCCGGCGTTTCTTCTCAGCACTTGCCATATTATGTTTGTCTCGAAGCGCTGGTAGGGCCCAAAAGATAAGGAGACATGTAAAGTGCCCTATAAGGGCTACCTTTTCTTTTTTTATTATCTAAGTATAATAATATTTTGACGTTCATAAGTGCCACTTGTGGTTTAAACTGAATAAATATTTTTGATTTTGATTTTGAGATTTGTACTTACATTTAAATACCTTAGTAAACAAACACATTACACAAGAAAGTTAGATAGATAAGTTATACTACGTTTATAGTGTATTCGTTTTGAGGTGCAAACCCATCGGAGTGCAGGCATATGATCGCGTTAGTTTCGTCCGCGTTTTCCCAATTAGCACGTGGCGGCTCTGCGAAGCTGATTGTCGGTTGTGTGACTGGGCTCTCTATTTATTACATAATTGCAATTATACCTACCTACATCATGATGACTTTCCAAGTGTACGTAATACCATACGCTATTTTTTCATCAATGTTGGGTAGTTACGTGGTAGAGTCAACTACGCACGAATTTCGCCTTGAGCAATTTGATTTTTTCTATTAAATTTTTTTTTGAGACGCGACTTGCGAACTAGTGACTTTTGTTTCTAAATAACGATTCGTATTCTGCCCCCCTTTGACAAGGTAAGATACGTGACTGATTTATTCGCAATCGCTTCAAGAAGTAAAAAGCCTAAAAAGTCGAATTTCTGAACTAAACGTTTATGAAAGTTTTTTGTCGCAGGCTAATTGACGAAAGAAAATCGTATCTACACTAATACACTAATATTATAAAGAGGAAAACTTTGTTTGTTTGGTTGTAATGAATAGGCTCAAAAACTACTGGACCGTTTTTAAAAATTCTTTCACCATTCGAAAGCTACATTATCCACGAGTAACATAGGCTAAAGGATGATGGGCACAAATGTATGGAAAGTGGTACCCGCTCCAATAGCCATAACCAATATATATTTTAAAAGGCCTTTAGATGTAGGAAAATGTCTGCTATGGGGCCAGTTCTAATTCACGTTTTGAAAGCAGTAATTCCACTAAGTATTATAATGAAAGTATAACACAATCATCCATGTATACGAGTATGTATTATGACTACAATCTATTAATATAACTAAAAGAAGCATTGAAAAGGAAAGGATTATACCTACGATGAACTACCCAAGCTATTAGCCCTTTATTCGCTTTCATCATCATCATCATGATCATTTTAGCCATAGGACGTCCAGTTGAACGTAGGCCTCCCCCAATGATTTCCACAATGGCCGGTTGGTGGCAGCCTGCATCCAGCGCCTTCCCGCTACCTTTATGAGGTCGTCGGTCCATCTTATGGGTGGACTTGTTGGGTCTTGTGGGTTTATTCGCTTTAG